AGGCTTAGGAACGAAACCTCCATCTTTCTCAGATCTTCAGGGTTTAGGTTCTTTCTGCCAAGAGTGTTCAGAAGGGAGACTGAGCTGAGAGGGGTAAGGGAGGGTTGGGAGCAGGAGGAGGAAGGAGCACCTTAGAGTCAGAAACAATTGGTATTTTCTCTACGTTTTTACAAACACCTTACCCTGGGAATGCATCTCAGATAACCGATGCTGACAGAGAAAATAAGGTTTGTTACAGGGAAAACGGTCGGACAGACAAGTGGCTCCTGGAGCAGATGAAGCCTGAAACTTGACTGGAGGTGAAAATGACAAAACTGGAGCTGTCCTACTCCGGGCTCACCATGGGCAGGCAGGGCTCTTTGGGAAAGAAAATAATGCTGGGGAATAGAAGGCAGCAAGAAAAGAGGAAGAGCAAACAGGAGACGATTGACTTCATAAAAGAAGCCACAGCTGAAACCAGTTTGGCTCAGTGGATGGAGCGTCAGCCTGCGGACTGGAAGGTCCCAGGTTCGTTCGATTCCCGTCAAGGGCATGTACCTTGGTTGTGGGCACATCCTCGGTAGGGGGTGTGTAGGAGGCAGCTGGTCAATGTTTCTCTCTCATCCATATTTCTAGCTCTTTATCCCTCTCCCTTTCTCTCTGTAAAAAATCAATGAGATATATTAAAAGAGAGAGAGAGAGAGAGAGAGAGAGAGAGAGAGAGAGAGAGAGAAGAAACTACAGGCATGAGGCTATAGGATCTGAATAGAGCTACAGAGGATAGAACATGGGAGACTCATTCAGAGGGTCACCAGGAGTCAGAGCCAACTCAACAGCATATCACACACACACACACACACACACACACACACACACACACACACACACACACACACACCATTGAGCCTAATCCCTTACCAGGATGCTGTTCTGACAACGCCCACATGAGGATGCTATTGAGCCTAATTCCTTAGTAGGGTGTTGTTCTCACAATGCCCACCAGAAGGCGGTATCAGAACCAATCCCTTCTAGGGTGCTGTTCTCTAAATGCCCAGGAGAGGGTGCTATTGAGCCTAATCCTTTATTGGGCTATTGTTCTCAGAGTGTCCACAAGAGGGCGCTATTGAGCCTAATCCCTTGCTAGGTTTCTGTTGTCAGAAATGTCCAAAAGAAGGCTGATTAAAAATGGCCACAGTGTAAAGGGAGGGTACACAGACATACTCCCTGACCAAACTGGAAGTACAACTAGAACACGAAAAGACACCCACTGAAGAACTAGCTGGAGCTCAGTGATAACCAAGGACAGAATGTGCAGACCGCATAGAGGCTGGAAAGAAGGACGGAATTGCGAAAGGGTTGGCCCGGCTCCCACAGACAGCAGCTGAAGTTTCAGAGAGAGATCTCATCTGTGGAGGGTTCCCACTGAGAACTCTGGGTCATAACCCCCAGCTGGGCACCCCAGCAGAGAGCCCCAGAGCTGAGACAGGTGCCCACGTACCAGCTGCCTGTGAACAGCAGCAGGGTTGCCGTCTGTCAGGAGAGACAGCTTTTCATATTCCAGTAGTTTCTTCTCCTTTAAAATATATATATATATATATATATATATATATATATATATATATATATATATATATATATATATATATATATATATATATATAATTTCATTGATTTTTTTTATAGAGAGAAAGGGAGAGGGATAAAGAGCTAGAAATATGGATGAGAGAGAAACATTGACCAGCTGCCTCCTACACACCCCCTACCGAGGATGTGCCCACAACCAAGGTACATACCCTTGACCGGAATCGAACCTGGGACCTTCCAGTCCGCAGGCTGACGCTCCATCCACTGAGCCAAACTGGTTTCAGCTGTGGCTTCTTTTATGAAGTCAATCGTCTCCTGTTTGCTCTTCCTCTTTTCTTGCTGCCTTCTATTCCCCAGCATTATTTTCTTTCCCAAAGAGGCCTGCCTGCCCATGGTGAGCCCGGAGTAGGACAGCTCCAGTTTTGTCATTTTCACCTCCAGTCAAGTTTCAGGCTTCATCTGCTCCAGGAGCCACTTGTCTGTCCGACCGTTTTCCCTGTAACAAACCTTATTTTCTCTGTCAGCATTGGTTATCTGAGATGCATTCCCAGGGTAAGGTGTTTGTAAAAACGTAGAGAAAATACCAATTGTTTCTGACTCTAAGGTGCTCCTTCCTCCTCCTGCTCCCAACCCTCTCTTGCCCCCCTCAGCTCAGACTCCCTTCTGAACACTCGGGCAGAAAGAACCTAAAACCCTGAAGATCTAAGAAAGATGGAGGTTTCGTTACTACCCTGTTTCCCCGAAAATAAGACAGTGTCTTATATTAATTTTTTCTTCCAAAGTTGCACTAGGTCTTATTTTCAGGGGATGTCTTATCTTTCCATTTGCTAGGTCTTATTTTCGGAGGATGTCTTATTTTCGGGGAAACACGGTAAGCCTTCCAGTAATCTTTCCGTAAGACTTCCACCTGCCAATTACAGGTGCATCTCATTTCTCTTCTCAAAGACACCTACACGTTAATTTCTAAAAGTTTAGAGCTGTGGTCGGCAAACTCATTAGTCAACCAAGCCGAATGTCAACACTACAACGATTGAAATTTCTTTTGAGAGCCAAATTTTTAAAACTTAAGCTTCCTCTAATGCCACTTCTTTAAAATAGACTCGCCCCGGACGTGGTATTTTGTGGAAGAGCCACACTCATGGGCCCAAAGAGCCACATGTGACTCTTGAGCCGCGGTTTGCCGACCGCTGACCTAGTATACGCTGTGTTGAGTATTAGTTTCATAAGTTTGAGTGCAAGCTTTATTTGAGTGAGAATTCCAACATTCGCCTCCTTCAACCCGATTTCAGGCCTAGAGTTTTAGGAAAGCACGTTAAAATGGGCTCCTGTGCAATCTATTACTATACTATACAATACTACTATACAATACTATAATTGTTCGTCTTCCTTTTCCTCTGTCCAGTGTCAGGGAGTAGCTGTGAATAGAAAGCGCGTAGACCAGGCATTAGGAAACTGGAGAGCTAGTCGCTGATGTGATCTAATTTATTGCTTAATATTAGCTAATACATTTAACATCTTTGAGCCTCAATTTTCTTCTCTACAAAATGATGACTAAAAGGGGAAAAAGTGACTAAATATTTAGAGGCTGAAATGTGTATTTTTATAGACCTTATCACTTAACCTATTATTGTAGCAAAACAATTGTGATAGGTTTGAAAACAAATATTTGCATATATATGTTATGGAATACCTAATAAAAATTCCCCATCTTAATATACCAATCTTTACTGGGATTGAAGCAAAAACCGTAAGCCTATTATTCACAATAACCCTGTGCTTTCCCCTAGTGAAATAAATAGCTGTCCTCAAACTGAAGGCTGTATGAGAACCTTAGTGTAATCTTTAAGTTTGGCAATTAAACATTACTATTTTTTACTTGTATCATTGAATATTATAAAAGATTTAGTATTTGTTGGGGAAAGAGTTGAATTAGTCTGACATGAGTAATCTGAGATCTGTCAATGACAGGGCCATTTATAATCCATGAATGTCATTAAAAACAGGCTGCTTTTGCAAGCAATACTAAATCTAACCCCCCTCTGTAACTTGTAAAAATTTGAAATTCGAATGGGATAGATAACAGATTGGCCATTTTAACACCAGCCGAGACGCTCTCTAATGCTATACTGCCCTCTTGTGGCCAATATGGAGAACTGCGGTCTGAGGAGTTGCTTTTAGTTTTTTTTTCTCTGCTTTACATATCCTTGTATGCTGCCTTAAAAAATTTATGAAATGAAGCAAAATCTAAGCAAGTAAGACGTTATAAGATGAGCAGTGTTGCCTAAGGTTAAAGATAAGTGTTTGAAGACCAGTCTGCCTGGGTTCTCATTACCAGCTGTGAGAATGAGGAAAGTAACTTAGGCTTCCTGCACCCTGCTCCTCCTCATCTATAAAATGAAGGTAACTCTAGCCCTGGTGTTATTACGGGAATTAGAGAGTCCATAAGAACAGGAGCTGACACAGGATAAGCACCATTGAAAGTGAGAGCTCCAAGTTAAGTTACAGCCCATTCTCAAGGTCAGCGTGACAGAAATTCTCAGATTCCTCAGACCATGCCCAGACAGCATCTCCTTGGTGAGAATATTTGGCACAAAAACAGAGACTGAAACAGCAACCCAGTTGAGCTATGATTATGTCTCTTCCCACCGAGTAGGTTAAGTCATGGACTGTGAATGCTGTCCATGGGGCCTCAGGCCCACTCCATTTGCCTATCTCACCGTTGGGGAGCTTGGGCCCAAGAGAAACTCCCTCTCCTGGCACATTTCCAGCCCTTCTCAACAGAGGTGGTCCCATGATCAATCTATTCCCGGTGGCATTGTGGTGCTGAAATGTGCGTTTGCAGGAAATTCATTCTGAAGTAGAACAGAGAAGCCACCCTACCCTCTCTCCCCGATCCCCGAAACCCCCCCCAAAAAAAAATCAACTTGAGCACCCTGGTCAGTGTGGCTCAGTTGGTTGGAACTCCATCATCCTGTACACCTAAAGGTTGTGGGTTCAACTCCTGGTCAGAGCACACATCTAGGTTGCAGGTTTAATCCGTCCATGTGAGTACAGGAGGCAGCCAAACAATGTTTCTCTCTCACATCCATGTTTCTCTCTCACAAGTCAATAAGCATGTTGAGTAAGGATTTTAAAAAAGTTTAAAAAAAAAATCAACTTGAGCTATCTCAAGAAATATACTTCTCTTGGCTGAGAGTGGTATCTCCCAAGGGTATCTGCTCGTTGTTGGGGAGGGGTTGTTCTTTACACATTTTTAAATAAGAAAAGTATAAAACTAAACATGCAAGCTACCTTAGGAAATAAAAAGCAGTTATTTCATTGGGGGGGGGGGGTAAGGTTCTAACTACCTAAAGAACTCATTCAAAAAACAAGTTCAAATTTCCAAACATAGTAAAAAAAAAAAAATGAATATGAATTGCTACAAACACAACCATATGACAAAAGTACATTTATTTTATTTACAAAGGAGCAGAGTATACTGTAATGTGGAACAAAAGAGAAAGATAGGCATACATATTTACATAGTAAGTGCAGGCCAAACTTATGAAGGTTCTTTAAATACTAGCATTTATCAAGTGAGTTTCTAAAAAATAATTATCACCTTCAGGAAGAATTTTTAAGAGGCTCAACCTACGTGACTCACGCTATGTCTATCTGAGTGAAACCATTACATTCTTTAAAAATCTCCCAAGTTTCTGGAGAATAAATAAACCAAAATCACTACCAATTTTTAAAAGATTCAAAGGCTCTTAAATCAGGATGTCATAATTGCTTTAAGAAATTGTTTTTTAAAAACTCAAACATATACTATCATTTGCTAAGTGATACAATACAGACTTAGGTTATATTAATTTCTTAATCCACTGCAATGTTTTCTGTTATCTTACAATGAGACCGTACTGTTCTCTAATGAGAAACATGAAGTCAGTTGCTACTTTGCTCTTAGAAAAACCATTCTAAGTGTGTATTCAGCCTTTAATAACATTAACATACATGTGGAAAAAAAATCAATATTATATCTAATGATCATCAGTAACCAGCTAACTGCTGGATATTCCAAAACCAGAGACGGTATTCTTAAAAGTCAAGACTTTTCAGACCTCTGCACTAATACATCCTGGCACACAGACTTCATTTAATTCCATTAACAGAAGATTAACATGCAGTGAAAGACATGCTGGCGTATCTCTTCACTTCTCGTGACATCTTGTGTTTGTCGGTTCTTCCTTTAGGTCACTGTCCTTTTGACTGTGGAGTGTGATATCCAAACTGAAATAAAGCAAAGGTTTAGCACAGATATTATTCCAATGTTTAAAAAAAAAAAAAAAATGGCAATACTGGCACCAAATGACCCCATGAGGTGTAATTCACTCAACAATGAAGTTGCTGAGAGTGGGCTACGAGACAGGCTCTGCACCTGAAACTACACAAAAAGATGGGCTCCTTTTCTAAGACGCTCTAGTTGACTGGAGAGAAAATGCTGAGAACAGTGAACAGGACGAGACAACTCTGTTATACCTCATTAATCCACTGTCGCTGGGAAACAGTATGTTCTATTCAGTATATTCCGTTACCCATGCGAATTTCTTAGGTAACCGAAGATTGTGAACATCATAGAATTTTAATAAAGCATGTTCTAGTCACTGCTCTGACAATCAGGTGTGGGGTTATGGGCAGATATTTAAACACCCAGAGGTTCATTTTCCTCATGTGTAAAGTAGGTAATAGTAACCTGGAGATTTTCTATTTGTATTTTTAGGATATTGCTGTTATGAGATTGGGGGGGTGGGGGGGAACCCTCAAAATTAGAATTAAGCCTAAATTTTAAAAAGATATTTCAAGTAAGGAACAAGCTTAAGGGTCAAGCGTTGAAATACAGTGTGGCCCTTTGAAGCAACCAAGAAGCACTGACACTAAAGGTAATAAGGGTCTACGGCCATACCACCCTGAACGCGCCCGATCTCGTCTGATCTCGGAAACTAAAGGTAATAAGGACCCCATTTGTTTTATTTTTTTTTAATGTTTTTTTTAATTTATTTTATCTTTTTATTTTTTAATACATTTTATTGATTTTTTACAGAGAGGAAGGGAGAGAGATAGAGAGCTAGAAACGTCGATGAAAGAGAAACATCGACCAGCTGCCTCTTGCACACCCCCTACCGGGGATGTGCCCGCAACCAACGTACATGCCCTTGACGAGAATCGAATCTGGGATCTTTCAGTCCGCAGATCGACGCTCTACCACTGATAAGCCAAACCGGTTTCGGCAGGACCCCATTTGTTTTAAAAGCAGTTAACATTCTCTTTGACTAAATAGACAAAGTCTACGTCTGACTGAAAACCAGGGAGCATTCGCATGTGACTGTGGTCCCTGCGAACCTGTCGCTGCTTTCCTGTGCTCCTCCCTAAGCTTCAGGCAGGCACCCAGTTCACACCACAGACAGCAACGTCAGCAAGCAGCTGTCCAGGATGAACCGTTGCCAACTTGTACGCATATTTTTCAAATCAAATGTTTTATTTAAAAACTTCATAGAAGGCAAAAAGCTAAAATGAGCATGTAGCAGAAACCGGTTTAGCTCAGTGGATAGAGCGTCAGCCTGTGGACTGAAGGGTCCCAGGTTCGATTCCTGTCAAGGGTATGTACCTTGGTTTCGGGCACATCCCTGGTGGGGGGGTGCAGGAAGCAGCTGATTGATGTTTTTCTCTCATCGGATGTTTCTATTCCTCTCCCCTCCTCTCTGTAAAAAAAAAATCAATAAAATATATATTTTTTAAAAATGAGCCTGTAAAAGCTAACAAAGGCAGAAACACGAGCAGCACTGACAAATAATTGTGTCCCAAGCACGTCACACAGACGCTGGCATGAAGCCCACCGGCCGCAAGTGTGGCATGCTTGGGTAGCCCGTTCTACATAATTACTTTAAGAGAACTTGAAGGCAAAGATATGTCATAAATAATACACTTCAGAAAAACTGAAAAATTAACTTTACATTGTTAGAGCTCAGCCTTGAGGTTTCTGGACTAGAAAAGGGAGAAGACTCCCAAGACCTATTTTCTTTCTCAAAGGAGTCATCTTCTTGGAACGCAAATTTCTGCTTCAGTGCCTGGGAAATTAAAGACACCGGGTCCCACTGCGAACTGTGTCTTTTCCTCCTATGAATGGGTCTGCCTCCAGGTGACCTATTTTTTTAAAAAAAAAGTTAATTAAAATTTGTGTAATTGAAGGTCCTTGTTAACAAGCACAGCAGAAATATAAGCATAATGTATTACAATCCAAAAGGTCAAGAGAGTGAAATTTTTTTTTTTACCACGAATCAAAAAACCAACTGGGGCTCTACACAACCTGGTTATGACCTAGGACTTATCGAAAATCTCTGTGCTGGCCCTAACCAGTTTGGTTCAGTGGATAGAGCGTGGGCCTGTGGACTGAGAGGTCCCAGGTTCAATTCGGGTCAAGGGCATATACCTTGGTTGTGGGCACATCCCCAGTAGGGGGTGTGCAGGAGGCAGCTGATCAATGATTCTCTCTCATCAATGTTTCTAACTCTCTATCCCTCTCTCTTTCTCTCTGTAAAAAAAAATCAATAACATATATATCTATATATATATATTTCTTTTTTTTAATTGAAAATTATTTTCTGGGAGGGGTATTTGGAGTGAAAGGAAATAAAAGATGCATATAGGTTTAGTTTGATAAATATAAATTTTTAAAACATTCTTGATAAAATGTTGGTTCATTTCTCAAGTTATGACAACATACCGTTCAATAGCACGAAGTTTAATCTTATTCAGATCCTTTAGAACATCCAACATGTTGGGAACATCTTTGTTTTTCTGGTGTTTTGAATGACGATTATAACTGGTCTTACTGGCACCGGGGTGCTGTTTTTTCATTTCAGTCGCTGTATTATCTGAGTCACAACTATGAGTATATTCTGGCTGCACAGAACATGGAGGCTGCAGAGAAGAAAACTGAGGGGGCAGAGGAGGTGGAGGAGGAGGCGGAGCGGGAAGCACTGAACTTGAAAATGGATCTGGTCTGACACTCAGCTGAGCAGTTCCTGATGATGGCACTTGTCCCAAACCACCAGCCCCATCGGTAGAGTCAAAAGAGCCTAGAAAACAAAGCAGTCTGTTGAAAAAACATGCAAAATTCTCTTGAACATAACAGTAATCAAAACCAAAACAGAAACAATTTCTGTAAAGCTGCTAAAATAAAGATATGGCCAGAAAGGAGAAGCAATCCCATCTGCTTAGGCATTTCTATTAAGAGTCAAACCAAACAGAAATTTACTTTTAATCCAGTTAAGATTCTCTGTGTTGGCCCTTAAAGTGGGAATAGGAAGAAACACTTCAAAGAGAAAATAAAAAAGTGCTTTTTTTCAGTAATCCACATACAATCTAAATTTCATCCTCTATTTTAAAAAGCTAAAACATGACCAAGAACTTACAGTAGAAACACTCAGAATGGTATCTCTGTGATAAACACCCAAGCATATATTTTAGGCAAGAGCTTAAGGACTTAAGTACAGTAGTCTTCCTTTTCCATTTTCACTTGCCATAGTTTGTTACCCAAAGTCAACCTGGGTCCAAAAACATCAAAAGGAAATCCCAGAAACAAACGGCTCACAAGATTAAACTGAGCGCCATTCCAAGTAGCATGATGAGACCTTGGGTCGTCCCACTCTGGCTCCCCCAGGATGAACCATCACCCCCTCACCCAGCATCTCCACCTGCACATGCTCCCCACCCAGCCCTCGCTCAGCAGCTGTCTGGGTTATCAGATCGACTGCCGAGGTGCCACAATGCTTGTGTTTAAGTACCCCTTCATTTACTTTATGTTGGCCCCAAAGCAAAACAGTAACGATGCTGGCAATTCGGATGTGCCAAAGGGAAGCCCGGAAGTGCTTCCTTAGAGTGAAAAGGTATGTATTTATAGGAAAAAGCATAGTATACATAGGGCTCAGGACTAACTGTGGTTACATACTCCCCTTGGAAAAAGAGGGACTGTTGTACTTAACTTTTCCACAAGAGATTTACTCCTAAAAGGATGTATCACTGATTGCTAAAAAATGTGTAGCCAAAACCGGTTTGGCTCAGTGAATAGAGCGTCGGCCTGCGGACTGAAAGGTCCCAGGTTCGATTCTGGTCAAGGGCGTGTACCTTAGTTGCGGACACATCCCCCAGTAGGGGGTGTGCAAGAGGCAGCTGATCAATGATTCTCTCTCATCGATGTTTCTAACTCTCTATCCCTCTCTCTTCTTCTGTGTAAAAAAAATCAATAAAATATATTTTTTAAATGTGTATTTACATCTCATTTTTATTATTACACATTATGTAATATCTATATATTATTTACATATTCATGTGTATCTATAGTATAATGTACACACATTACATTAATATAAATTATGTGTGTGTGTGTGTATATATATGTATGTACACCTTTATAGACTATGTGTGTATGTCTATAGGTTAAAGCAAGTTTTATCTCTAAAGTTTAGAAAAAGATCATCTCGAGAACATTATTCCCCTAATTAGGTGAAATAGTAGCAGTAACTTCAAACTACAAATCTATGAAACCTCAAATATTTCAAATTAATGCATTCTTCCTCTTAAATTTCCAATGCTTTTCTGAGGATTTAGAAAAGTTTACTTAGAAAACAGGCTTTCAGTATAAAACTACCATGTTTCCTCAAAAATAAGACATCCTCCGAAAATAAGACCTAGCACATGGAAAAATAAGACGTCCCCTGAAAATAAGACCTAGTGCAACTTTGGGAGAAAAAATTAATATAAGACTATTTTCAGGGGAAAAGGGTACTATCTACTGCAGTATAGTTACCTCTTCTTTAAGCCAAAACTATCTCCCTCAATATGAATGTCTTTTTTTTTTTTTTTAATTCTCACCTGAGGACATGCTTTTACTGATTTGAGAGAGGAAGTGGGGCAGAGAGAGAAGAAACATCAATCAGTTGCCTCACGGATGTACCCCGATTAGGGATCAAACCCGAAACTTACATATATGTCCTGACTGTGAACAACCTTTTGGTGTACAGGATGACCCTCCAATCTACTTAGGCACCCAGCCAGGGCCAAATGTGTCCTAATTTATTCTAAATAAACATCGAACAAAACATTTTTATATAGCCAACATCTTTTTATATTTAACTAGAGGCCCGGTGCATGAAAATTCACGCACTGGAGGGAGGGGTCCCTCACCCCTCTCACAGTCTGGGAGCCCTCAGAGGTGGGAGGCGACCCAGCAATCAGGGGAAGGCAATGCCCCCATCACATCTCTGCTGCTACCACTGCCAGCAGCACAAGCCTCGGCCGGCCCTGGTTACCTGAGTCTCGGGCTGGCCCTGGGTGGCTGGGCAACCGCCATCCTAGGCTTGCAGGAGCCTCGGGCTGGCCCTGGACAGCTGTGGTGCTGAGGGGACTGGGGGACTCTGGAAGCAGGCACATGGAGAGGCTGGACCCTCCTGGGGGAAGGCCAGGCCTTGCTGCATACCTGCCGCCCCAGTGGGGCTATGGGGACCGCCATCTTTGAGGGTGTGACAGTCAATTAGCATATTCTCTCCTTATTGGTTGTGGGTGTTGCCATCTTTGTGAGGGTGTGATGGTCAATTAGCATATTCCCTCTTTATTATATAGGATGAAATACATAAACATCAAGTATTCTTATTCAGAACTGTACTGACTTAAATACTAGGCGAGTATCTTCTAGCTGAAACAAAAATCCAGTGTTACTTACCAGAATTAGTACTGCTTTTCAGTTCCTGCATTTGCACAATTGCAGCAATCTGAGAACGGAGAGAAGCTAGCTCATCTTCAAGGGCAGCAATTTTTTTAATTGCAGCTTCATTTACAGGCTGAGAGCTTTTCGTTGGTTTGTTATGTCTTAGACAAGGTGAGTGTGGATCCCAAGCTAGCTGCAAAGGATGGAAAACCTCAGTCTCCTCTTCCTCATTTTTCCATATACCATTTCTGTGGATGGAAAGAAGGAAGAAATGGGGATGGAGAGGGGGAGAGGGTAGGGGAGGGAAGGGAGATTTTCCAAAAGGAATAAATTATTTCAGTCCAAGAGGAATACAGACACCAAGACAAAATCAGAGTAGCTCTCTGTATCCCATGACTTATCTCTAGACTCACTGGGGACAAACACAACATCTTATGTAACTGTGTATTCTCAGTATGTAGAACAGAAATTAACCTTTAATAGGTGACCAATAAATGGTCAGTGAACGAAGGAACAAGCCCTGCTTTCAGACTGTAAAACAAAAATAATTATCCTGTAGCCGAAACCGGTTTAGCTCAGTGGATAGAGCGTCGGTCTGTGGACTGAAGGGTCCCAGGTTCGATTCCAGTCAGGGACATGTGCCTCAGTTGTGGGCACATCCTTAGTGGGGAGAGTGTGCAGGAGGCAGGTGATCGATGATTCTCTCTCATCGATGTTTCTAACTCTCTGTCCCTCTCTCTTCCTCTCTGTAAAAAGTCAATAAAATATATTAAAATAATAATAATTATCCTGTAACTGTTCTGCCTATTCACTTTAAATATACAACAAGTTGTTTCATTTAGAAATACTGTGTTCTGAATACACAGTACTGAAAGGCCTTATATTCAGTACAACGTTAAGTGTAAATTTATGGTATTCTAATTTTTTTAAAATTGATAAACCAGTTTGACATGTCAAATATTTAGTCATAGTGTTTCAATAATTGACCCTGGTTGTGCTTATAGCCTGCATCTGAATATACTAACCCATGCTAGTATCCCCTAGGAGAAAACACATACAAATGTTGAAATAATATTTAACATCATTGCCTGTAAGAACTAAGTTTTGAATGAATATATGAAATAAAATAAACCTAGTTGCCTAGTGTAGGAAATAGCTTTCTCCTAAATATAAACATAGTGACTATGATACTGTTTTAATATCATTCCATCCTAGGCCTGGTGTTAGGTTTAAACGTTCAGTAAGAAAAACTGGCTAAACATGAGGAACAAGTAGTCATCCTTATTATTAGGAAAATATTAGTCGGACACAACGCAGCAGAGAGACAGACAAAACAAAAAGGCCCACTGAGTCTGAACTTGCATACGTCCAAGAATTCAGATTACAGCCCATACCCCACCTTCCAAGATAAGTATATAAATTTACCGAAATCTGAGACAAATGGGTTCTTCCTCATTTGCCACACACAAAATATCAGCAAAGGATGGAACTGCAGAGCCACAGTTACCAGACTCTACAGAGTTCAAGAATGGGATCAGCTAAAAGAGAAAAGGAAAACAAAGTCAGAGCTCTGTAGAGAGTGGGGCGGAGACACATGCCATGGAAATTAAACAAATTAAAAGTCCAAGAGGGAAAAGGGATATTCAATAGAAAACCATGCACCGATTAGTAAAAAAAAATACTGAGGAAAAATTATTCCAAAGTCCATACATGTAGCAATATTCTCTTCCCTGATTAATGTCATCTATCATAAATCACAAACAGAAGAATAAAATACTTGGTATTGCTTTGCACCTGCCCATGTTTGAATGTAATTATTTAAAGAAATAAGCACAAAAACATATGTGAAATGACTTGTTTCCAAGGATAAAAGTTTTTGCAGGAAATATTTATTCTTTTTTTCTATCCTGTATTTCTTGGGTTATCTATACATACATACTTATACATATCTTTTATACATAGTGATTAAACATTGCGTGTTGACTGACATACCTCAAAATCAGGCCTGCGACAGGCTTCTAAAGGAAGAATTTTCCCAATAATACGAACAATACTCCGACCTGATCCATAATCTTTGTTTCCCCAAATCTGCAAAACCTATTGAAACATAAAAAGTTTTATGTTTTAAAAAGTACTCTATTTTAAAGTATGATTATATATGTAATGTAAAAGATGCAATCACATTTTTTTTTTTTTTAAAGAAAATACAGCCCTAACCGGTTTGGCTCAGTGGATAGAGCATCGGCAGCGAACTGAAGGGTCCCAGGTTCGATACTGGTCAAGGGCACGAACCTTGACCTTGGTTGTAGGCACATCCCCAGTGGGGTTGTGCAGGAGGCAGCTGATCAAGGTCTCTCTCATCGATTTTTCGAACTCTCTATCCCAATCCCAATCCCTTCCTCTCTGTTGAAAAATAAAAATAAAAAAATTTTTTTTAATAAAATAAAAAGAAAATACAGAATGATGTTCTCAAAGTCTTGTGTTCAAAGAATTACACCAAACTAGATCTCAATTCAGACATTTAAAGCAATTAAAGGTGATACCTGGCCAGTGGTGTCCACAGTGAACAGTGTGCTCTGAAGGATATAGATACCAGAGCTATTAACACTAGAATCTCTGCCACCTGAGCAATTACATTTAAAGTGTCCTGCTACCACGCATGTGTGCCCTCCCTAAGAACCACAGGCCTAGAGGCTTCACTACAGTGAGAGCTACGTACTGCATGTCAATAGTCACCTTATTCTTGATTCACTTGAATGGTACCTTCATATCTTGCTCTGCAATTTCCATCCTGACAAACTTCTACCTCCTAACTCTCATTCCTTCATTGCCATGATCATCTTCATCATTCTTATGATTTTACCTTCTTCCATTCCTGATCTAGGACCCTCGTTTTGTGTTTTGTTTTTTTTAATTAATCTTCACCTGAGGATATGTTTACTGATTTTAGAGAGGTAGGAAGAAAGGGAGAAAAAGAGAAAAACATCATCAATGGTTGCTGCTATATGTGCCTGGATCAGGGATGGAACCTGTAACTTTTTGGTATATAAGATTATCGCCTTTTTTTTTTTTTAACTGATTGATGAGAGAGAGAGAGAGAGAGAGAGAGAGAGAGAGAGAGAGAGAGAGAGAGAGAGAGAGAGAGAGATTTGTTATTTCACTTATTTATGCATTCTTTGGTTGATTCTTGTATGTGCCCTGACTAGGGATCAAACACAGCCTTGGCATATTGAGAAGATGCTCCAACCAACTGAGCCATCTGGCCAGGCCCCTCATTTTGACTTGACTGACTTTCATAACAAGCAGGGATTTTCAAGCTGTCTCAGTGATATGCTCTCAAAAACGGCTCATCCTTTCGATATGTGTTCTCATATTACTAATGGACAAACTACCCCCAGTACAACCATATTTACAGAGATTACTCTGCACAGGTATTCTGCAACCCCTTTATAACATGTTATGTTCGCCCAAAGTAATTGCCAATCTCTGAAACCCCCAACACCACACTTTAATCACCAAGTGGTCTCACCTCTCCTATCATTGAGGAAATCAAGGACTATGATTTGATATAGTCACTCCTCTCCATTCAAAATCTACCCCCCTTCTCTCACTTTCATTCTACTCTTCACTGTCCAGCTTCTGTCCAAGGATTATTTATAGGCTCTGCCCAAGTACCTTTATCGGGCATTGCTCAATCACTCTCATTTGTATCTTAAATATTTTCCTGTCTATAAGGGTCTTCCTCATTGTGTGCAAACATGATGAAGTTACTTCTAACACTGAAAAGAAAACTATTCATTCCTGCTGCTCCTTCAAGTGGATGGCCTCTCTTGATTTCTTTTCACAAACTTTTCAAAAGAAGATTGCTGCCTAAATCAGTTTGGCTCAGTGGATAGAGCATTGGCCTGCAGACTGAAAAGTCCCAGGTTCGATTCAGGTCAAGGGCATGTGCCTTGGTTGTGGGCACATCCCCAGTAGGGGGTGTGCAAGAGGCAGCTGATCAATGATTCTCTCTCATTGATGTTTCTAACTCTCTATCCCCCTCTCTTCCTCTCTGTAAAAAATCAATAAAATATATTTTTTTAAAAAAACAAAACTTAAAAACTTAAAAAAAAAAAGAAGAAGATTGCTAATGCCACTACCCTTGCTCAGTTGAATATCCAACTACTGAAATCCCCGAAGGCACCAATAATAAAATGACAAATCTACAACTATTACTCAGTCCTCGTTATCTTCAACATCACTATTTCTGAAATTCAGAATGCCTTAATGAAATCTTCCATTATGTCATTAAAGTCCATCAGGTCAAATCTCAAAATAACATAGATAACTCCAATCTGAATCAAGTCTTTTCTTTCCTACATTCTAGGGACATCTATCCCATTATCTGCAGGATGTCTGTACTTATCTATTCTAACAGCACAGCTGGCTGACCTTATCTCCCTACTCAAACTAGTTCCTCATACTGAGTTGCCTATTTATAAGAATGACATCATCATTCTTCAACTTTCTTTTACTTAAAATCTTGAAATTATCCTTGACTATTCTTTTCTAATTCACATACCAAATAGTCTATTCTATAAACCCCTCCCCCTACTATTTGTGTCTTATATTCAGTCTTGTATCATACTTATTTGCAATGTTGGCTAGCCCTCATATTTTTAAACACCATAAATACAAGATCTGTATCAACTACCGAACCAAGTATATTGTCTTAGATGTAGTAAATGCTCAGTAAGTAGACAAAACTGGATTCGCTTTTCATTCTCAGACAAGTCATCCTCTCTCCTTCTGACTTACTCTGAATATTTTGAGCTATAACTTGCCATTTACCTTAACAAAATGATTAGATGATTAAAAATTTACCTATGCAACAAAAGGAATTCCGTGAAGGTTATGGCTATAATTTGTTTGCAACTATTGTTGGCATTTGACCCATTAGGTAAATAGGTTCCTAATAATAATATCCTTTTTTTAAATCAAACTACCAAAGGTAAACTATTGCACACTCACTGTAGTTGCACCTATTTCACCAGAATGTTTACATATAAATAATTTTCAAAATGAGACCCAAGAACAAATACAAAAGGTTCATTCAAATCCATCAAAAAACATTACCTGGTCCATGTGAACACTGAAATATTCCAGTATCTCTGTTAAGATATTCAATATGAGAGACATTGATGAAGCAAACGCAGAAGCAAATTCAAGGAAACATTATCAGTTTCTTGATACCTTTCAGCCAAAAAAAACAAAAACAAACAAAATCAGAGAATGTTACTCTTAACAAATAGTTGCCATATAAATTGTATGAAATAAACTGGAAGTCCTATCATTACATATTACACCATCAACTAATCTCTTCAGGCCAAGGACGTCAAAGAGAAAGGGAATGGCCGAAACCGGTTTGTCTCAGTGGATAGAGCGTCAGTCTGAGGACTGAAGGGTCCCAGGTTCAATTCCGGTCAAGGGCATGTACCTTGGTTGCGGGCACATCCCTGCTGGGGAGTGTAAAGGAGGCAGCTGATCCATGTTTCTCTCTCATCGATTCTTCTAACTCTTTATCCCTCTCCCTTTCTCTATGTAAAAAATCAATAAAATATATTTAAAAAGAGAGGGAATGGGGATAGGGGAAGCCTTGGTAAAGGAAGCTTCAACTTATCAGTTAAATTGCATTACAAGTTCATAGGGTGTTTAAGCCTAATAAATACCAATCACCAGCAGGCGGGACACTTAGCAGAGAAGCTCCCTCGGATCTGACAGCTGTGGACGGGTTCGGGAGAAGGGAGCCCACATGGGTGCATTTTAAAGAAATGCACCTCCTCGCTCATTTGAAAGGAAAAGAACGTGAACCCCCAAACCGGTGACTCCACTTAGTTCACCCAACTAGTAGGTAACTGACCGAGACTAGCTCCCAGTGCTCCCTCGCTCTGGCCGCCTGAGTCCTGGGGGGCTCCCCTAACCAGCAGAGTCGCCTCGCTCACCTTCCTCCGAAGCCGAGCCCCCGGCCCACTCGGGAGCACCGAGGCGCGGTCGTTGAGGAACACGGCCTCGGAATCCTCAGGCGACTAAGCCCGACGAGCGCTCGAGCTGGTTCGGGAACGCTCGGACCCGTGTCCGCCCGCGCGCCTCGGCCTGCGGGCCGCCGGCGGGAACAGCGCCCCCGGCGACGCGGGTCTGGACCCCGGAGTCCTCCTCCCTCCGCCCGGGAAATCCACCTGCTCCCCGGTCCGCTACTTCCGCGTCCCTGGGCCAAAGTCAAACTCCGCGGGCCCTGACTTGCGCTCATTATGATTGGACAAGACTGAAGATTGCTGCTCGTGATTGGTTGTACGATAACCAATCAGGTTACTGTTATTTGGACAGCCTACGAGGATATTTCTTAAGAGGGCGGGCTTTCCGCGAGACAACCAATAGAAACCATAGGCAGCGGGTGGGCGGGGCAGGCTGCACGGGGACGGGTGTGGCGCGGTTTTGGTTCCCGGTGCCGCCCAATGCGGGTGTCCACAGCCGGGCGTTATGTAGTCATTTTGGGCCCTTGAGTCAGGCCCGCGGTCCGAAGTTCTTGCTCCTCAGAGATCTACGCGGAAAAGTCTGTCACCCCTCCCGCCAGACCCGAAAGGGGGCCCCTCTCCAAGGCCGCGGGCCTTTTATTGTTTGATCATTTATTCGTTCAATGAGTGAATATGTGCGTATGGGACTAGAGCAGGAGCTCGGCACTGCCCTCGAGGCATCTGCAGCTTTGCAGGACCCAGAATGTTCGTTCACCAAACGCTCCTGGTCATCCAGGCTGCCAAGTACGGGCTGGACACTGACCTGGCCTCGCCGTGGATGGCAAAGGGATCACTAAGTCGTGACAGGTGATATTCCAGTTTTCAATTCTGATCTGAGGTTATCGGCTTCATAAGAGACAATAGCTTTCTCTTCTCGTACTTTAGCGAGGGATGAATTAGTTATATAGCCTAAGATCAAGTGTGCTTGGGGAATTGAGGTAAGGTCCTTATTTCAAGTGGAGACCCGAAAGGGGCTTTTTCTGAGCACCATATGTAAAGAGCATCTCTCCACTCTCCTTCTTACTTTTCTTTATAGCCCTTGTCACCATGTATAGTGCACGGTGGGACAAAAATTACTGTTGTATGTGAAAGTTTATTCTTGTATTATTTTCCATCCAAACAACTGTAGACCTACTTTTTGCCTGCCGGAGTTCCCGGGCGGAGGGAGGACTCCGGGGCCTTGTATTTACGCTACCCCTGCAGCCAAACTAAACTGCGAACTCCAGAACAGGAGCTTTGTTTTGACCCCTGCTGTATCTTCAGTGCTTTAGAAGCCTGCTACTGTATCTATAATAATAAAAGGGTAATGTGCTAATTAGGCCAGATAGACTGTCTTCCAGATGTGGTGATTAGGTGGTGATTAGGGGCGATCAGGCCAGCAGGCAGAGGGGTTAGGGGCAATCAGGTAGGCAGGTGAGCGGTTAGGAGCCAGCAGTCCCGGCTGAGGGACAGACCATGCTCCCTCCCCTCCCCCCAATGCATAAATTTTGTGCACTGGGCCTCTAGTATATAATAAGCATTTAACCAATTTGTTGAATAAAATAATTGGATATGGAATGAGAAAACAATCACCAAGTATGGTTTGCAATTAAGCAACTGGTAGAACACTAGTGATTGTAAATGACAGGCCCAGAGCTTATCAGAAAAAAATTTGTCTATATTAAGATGGAAGTAGGGGCAGAAAAGTTTCAAGCAATATATAAGGCAAATGGATAAGCCTTACTACATGAAATTAGTAAATTACAATATTCTCAATATCCCTTGCCCTTCTCTTTTGCCCTCAGAAGTAATTATCTTAACACCTTATCCCATTCCAGTGTGATATCAAACAGCAAATAATAGTGGCCAGAACAAAAGCATCCCTTGAAAACTTAACAGGAACCAAAAGCATCCCTTGAAAACTTAACAGGAACTAACACCTCCTTCAGCTGCACTATTAATAGAACTCAGCATTCAGCTCTGAATTAGAAAAGAGGTGGGCCCAGGTCAAATGCTATAGCCCCCATAAATGCTTTGTTGACTTCCTCCCAAAATTATTTTCTCAGACTCTTTCATTTTGTTTACTAAAACATTCATTCATACTACATCTACATACACCTTGATAATCTTGAGATTTGACATTTTTTCAATTGTTTATTTTTATATGAAACTATTTTTCTCAACTTTGAGAATGCAATATTCAGAAAAGCTTCTGACTTTAATGGAGCTACATTTTTTTTTTTTTTTTACTGATTTTGACTAATGTTCAGAAATATGGTTGGTGGCTTGCTTTCTAAAACTTTCCTAACTATATTCCCCTCAAGTTTAATCTAGTCTTTTTCATATATTGTCTCTTTCCTGCTGAAATTTTATTCAATTTTCAGTACTTTCTCGTCAGTATGAGTCTGGTCTCTAAAATGCAGATTTGTCTCGGCAGGTCCGTTTTGAGATTTCACTGGGTTACACTACTCCTTTCCTTACAGGGTACCTTGCACTATTAGGGGGAAAACTCATTTCAGCTGGCTGATGTGGGACTCTCCATTTCTCATCTATCAGATGTTATTCCTCTCCTTGCACAGAAATCAATACCAGGCAGATTAGTGGTTTTCCCCCATTCGCTGATATTTGGGGGTTCATGAGAACAGCTTCTCATCTAGTTTAATTGCAAATGCCATCCATAGTTACTCAGTTTGGTAAGTAGGTGTTTTTTTTTTTAGAACCAATAATATATGGTCTGAATCCTCAAGACCAAGAATTAATTAACCTATGCACTCATTGCCACGTATACTTTTTCAGTGAATTAATGGAGAGAAGCCGAGGGCTAAATTGGACCAAGACTAGGGAAAATGTGTATTATGTCTTGCAAACTACCCAGAACTCCATTAGCCTTGTGACCTATACCTAACTTTTAAATAAACTCGTTACTGTAATTATCCTATGTAATAGTGGTGATATGCAAATTGACCATCATTCCAACACATAAGATGGCTGCCACAAGATGGCCAGCAAGGGAGGGCTGTTGGGGGGGAACCAAACCTGCAAGGGAGGGCAGTTGGGGGGTGACCCGGCCTGCAGGGGAGGGCAGTTGGGAGAAACCAGGCTGGCAGGGAGGGCAGTTAGGGGCAATTGGGCCGGCAGGGAAGCAGGCATCAATAGGGCTATCAGGGGAGTGGTTAGGGGGTGATCAGGCTGGCAGGGAAGCAGGCATCAATAGGGCTATCAGGGGAGTGGTTAGAGGGTATCAGGCTGGCAGGCAGGAGCATTTAGGGGCAATCAGGCAGGCAAGCAGTTGGGAGCCAGCAGTCCTCAATTGTGAGAGGGAAGTCTGACTGGGATCTAGCCCAAATGGGCAAGTCAGACATCCCTCGAGTGTGCAGGCTGGGCTGAGGAACACCAATGCATGAATTTCATGCACCGGACCTCTAGTCTTAAATAATGGAGCAGAATACAACATACTACCAAAGTATGTAAAAGCCTCTCTGACCTTAACCATAAGTCTCATGAAGGGTGATCTCCATAGTGGGATGTACATGCCCATAAAATAATTTTTATAACTCCAAAAAGAAAAAACTTAGGGCCTTTTTCCTTGTTGTGTCTATGCTTGAAGCCTTTCAGGGTAGTAGTGACATAGAAAATTTAAACAGACCAGTGCTATTTAAATTTACACACCTCTTAAAGGGTCATTTAAACTCTATATTTATTCAGAAATTTGAGAGATAAAGACCAAGATTTTCCTTGATATTAAAATGTTTCAAATTAAAATCTGAAATTTTCCTTTATTTCTATTGCCAATTAAAGTGATCAAGTAATGAAAAACAGAGGCCTATTACTTATATCTAAATTGCTATTTACTTATAATGATGTAATATGAAAATTACAAAAATCTAAGTTAAATATTTATAGCATAAAAGCAGATTTTGAAACTTTTAATTTATATAAAAGCAAGCCTAGATTATGCTTTGTGTTTGAATCCATAAGTCTCGTTTTAACTATTTTTTAACAAAATTTATACTATAGCTAGACCTCTCGAAAAGAAAAAGAAAAAAAGTTAGCGATGTTTGATTTTCCTGATTTCATTTTTTTAGATTTGTGACTTGATTCTGTAATCTGTTTCCTAATTCAATCATATGCTCACAAGTAGAAATGCTTTGACTCTTGTCATTCACTTAACTAAAACCTAGAATACAGGAAAAATAGTTAAAAGAATGTCCTGCCATTCAAAGAGAACATCAGTACTCCCAATGTGTCCATTTAATTCTTTTCATTTTTAGCAATAACTCATATTTTAACAAGAAAAAAATTCTTCATAAAAATGCCAGATAACATTCTGATTGCCTTACAGCTAACAGCAAATTGTCATCCAAGAATTGGCACATAAGGATGGAACCTGAAACCTGTATTCAAGCCGAGGCAGGGATGGGCATCTTTTATCAGTTACCCTGGAGGGTGAAAGGGAAGAAGCACTTTGATTTTGGAAGTTGAGTATTACCAAATATATGCATAAAAAATAATTGTATACTGACATTAAACTGATAAATTACTTTTATTATAACCATCTTTATATGCATATATTAGTGATTCTATTCAACTTATTTTTAAAAGTTCCCCTCATGGCAGTCTTAGAAGTACCCTGGAAGCTTAATGAAGTTTACTGTTTTCCCTTTCTAGTACAAGACAGAAAAATTATGGCCTTTAATAGTCAAGGACTAGATAATAGAAAGTAAACCACTATCCTGATAGATGAGAATATCCTTTACTTTTCTGTGGCCCTTTACAGTCCATGAAATTTGCAGCCACTATGATAGCACCAAGTCACTGCCAAATAGTTCACGCTGTGGATATAAATCCTTGCAATTCAGCTAACTGTCCAGTGTATTTACTATTGTCTGCTTTTATTAAAGGGAGGGCTCATTATTATTCAATGAGGAAGTTGGACAAAACCAAGAGATGAAGAAAAATTTTATTCCAATTCTTATGGGAATAGTATTAAAACCTACTTGTCCAATCCATTTCTACTTACAATAATCAACATTACCTCCTGCATTTTAAGAGTGCTACAAATCAATTTTAGGTTGTAACACATCTAAAATATCTGTAGGAAAAATGTTCTTAGTGTGGTAAAATGCCATCCTAATGCCCATTTTCTTTAAACATTGGGATCCATTTTTATAGGCTAAAGTATAATGAGCTAACAATATAGAGAAAATTAAACATACAACTTTGCTTTCATTCTCATAACTAATGCATACTAATCAGTAATCATTACTAATCATTTCTGTAAAACCAGGAGTCCAGCTCATAAATCAAGTCTCCAAGGCTTCAGTCAGACACAACTAATTTTGACATATTTCTGGATTCCAAGAAAATGAGTAATAACAAAACTTGGTCACTTAAACCTTTATTAACCTAAGACTCCTAATTTTTAATATCTATGCCAATTAATTTAAATTAGACCCTTGACATTCCGATTTAAAAATAAAAGTTTCAACTATTTGAGAAACCTAAATATATATATAGCAGATAATACTCTAAAATTTTGTTAAGGGATATATTAGTGTCCACTACTCAAGAAACTATACAATCCCATGACAATGAAGTTTATTTCTCCATTTGCCTTCCCTATCTAGTGTCTTCATGAATTGAGATAAGTCTATACTTATCTTTATGAATATAAAAGGAATACGTTTTGTATGAAAACAAAAAGTATATCCCAATCTAGTTGAAGCCCAAAAAGAGCAATTATGTAATTTTTTTAGAAAGTTAAATGTCCCTAATAAATAAGACAGCATACTTTTATATAGAGAACAGGTATATAACATTAAAATTACCTAGTGATATGAAACATACAGGAGTTATTTCCCTAACAAAGATTTAAAAGGATAATCTGCCATTTGTATTAGACAAATCTACTTGTCTCATATACACATTCTGTGAAAAAGTTTTTGTTTAAAGTTGACAGAATGGCCCATTTTAAAATTTTCAAATATATTATAAAAAGGGCACTGTAAGAATACCAATCTTACTCAAAGACAAACTTAAAAAAAAACAAAACAACTTTTTAGTTATTAACCGAGTGCTACGTTTTTAGAAAGAAAAGTAATGCTGATTCTCCATTATACTACTGCAAGAGGCCAGGTGCATGATTCAGCCCCACCTGCACCCTCTCCATTCTGGGACCCCTCAAGGGATGTCCGACTGCCTGGATCAGGCCTAAACGGGCAGTCAGACATCCCTCTCACAATCCAGGACTGCTGGCTCCCAACTGCTGGCCTGCCTTCCTTCCTGATTGCCCGGAACCACTTCTGCCTGCCAATCTGATCACCCCTTAGCCACTCCCCTGTCGGCCTAATTGATGCCTAACTGCTCCCCTGCCAGCCTGGTTGCCCCTAATTGCCCTTCCCTGTAGGCTTGATCCCCTAACTGCCCTCCCTTGCAGGGCTGGTCCCTCCTAACTGCCCTCCCCTGCTGGCCATCTGTGTCCACATGGGGGCAGCCATCTGGTGTTAGAGTGACAGCCCATTTGCATATTACTCTTTTATTAGATAGGACTAGAGGTCTGATGCATTAAGATTCATGCAAGAATGGGCCTGCCTTCCCCTGGCTGCTGGCACTGCCTTCGCTCTGGCTGGAGCCCTTTCCCCTCCGGCCCAGAGCTGCCTTTCTGCCTTCCCACAGGCCCAGTGTGACTGGGGTGGTGCGGAACGCTTGGATCATCACAAGTGTCCCACCTGGCCCCCGGCTGCTTAGCACCTACATATGCAAATTGACCCTCCGTATTTGTTCATTTGCATACTCGCTCCTGATTGGCTGGTGGGCATTATGGTGTAGTCAATTAGCATATTACTCTTTTATTAGATGAGTTCATGTGTTATTACAGGAATAAAAGGGCTAAACTGGACATCTGAATCCCTGCATTCTCTAATGTATCAATCCCTCAAAAAACCCCACACTATACCAATAATTTTCCTAAGAGATTAATTGGTATTCTAAAATCTAGAAATTGGCCGTATATATCAGTTGCATAAAACAGACAGATATAATCTCAAAATCAGGTAAACAAACAGCTATTACCACTTATGACATTTTTATTGGCATATGACAATTTACAAGAATCCCTGTTGCATTATACATCACACTGAGTAAGAATCGTTGAGCCATCTACATTTATTCTTAATATTTTCGTCTCAAATTATAATTCCCAACACTTGATTTTAATGGTGACAGAAGGAAACGATAGTAATTCCTTAGTGTATAGGCTGTAATTGGAAAAACCTATTTTGCTTTTTATATTAAAATTCTTAAGATACTGAAAGGTATACACATCTAAAGACTGAGTCATGGCCTTCTTAAACAGCTATCTGTTCTAGAAATATCCTTTGGTTGGTTTTTATTTTCCATCTCTGGGCAAAAGGAAATGTTAATGCAGATAGTCATTCTTTTTCTGGCACTTGTAAACAAATATCCTTACCAAGAGAAACCATTTAACTTCTATAACATCAGGAAATGTGGAATTACATTGTGGTTTTAAAATACACACAAGCCCTGGCTGATGTGGCTCTGTTGTTTGGAGTGTTGTCTGTACACCACAAGGTGGCAGGTTCAATTTGCTTTCAGGTCACATACCCAGCAGGTTCAATTCCTTGGTCAGGGTACAAGCAGAAGGCAACTAACTGATCAATGTTGCTCTCCCCCCGCCTCCCACCCCACCCCACTCCCACCCCTTTCTTCTCTAAATCAATTTAAAATAAAAATACACAAACTACGTTTTATATGCTTGACTTTTTCTGAAAAAGACAACATTCACAATCATCCTTCCTACTATATTCTGGTAGCATGCTCTTTCCTCAATTTTAATTGAATAAAGTAATGGACTCCTAAACATATCTGGATTAAAACAATACTTAAAATAAAACTTGATAGGACTTAAGTAGCTTTATTCCCAACTCCCTAGTAAATAATTTCTCAGCAAATTCCCTTCTTCTATGTCTTCAGTGCAAAAAACACAAAAACAAAACTGCATATTTAAGGCCATGCATAGAGATTTAGTATTTAACAAAATAACTGTTAAAATAAAAGCTAAATTTATTTGTATAAAATAAAATGCTTGTGAAAACCATTCTCCTGTGTTTGAAATCAAACCCACGTCGCTTAGCAAGTAATTATTCTAACTGGAAGGGTATTAGTTATGTCTGATCAATCCAACACATATACTTGCTTTGACAGTATTCCTCTGCTCTAGCAATTTCAGAAGACAAAACAAACAGGAGAAATCAGGCAATATTAAAGATCTTAGGGCCATAAAAATCACATATTGAGGTTTGGTTCCCAACCCCCCTCCTCTCAACACACCCAATAGCTCTTAGCAAATTCAAATTACCCTGGCTGCAATCAAGGTGCTAGAAAGATTGCAAATCATAAAATGAGAATGAAAAGGCTATATACTTAAGATCTTTAAAAGATTACATTAGCAGAATAAGCATCATCTCCTTTTAATGCAAACATATACAACTAATTCAATTGCTAACTTAATGAAATTTGATTACTTTTATATATGCTCATAAAGCAGACATACTTAACATTGAAATTTACTATTTCGGATTTTCATTCCTTTAAGAGCAATCAGCATAAGCATAAAGGTAATTCACATTTTCAAGATTATCTACCTAAAAAATAGAACCCTAGGAAAGAAAAAGAAAAGGCCATTTTACAAACTGCTGAAATTAGGGGGCAAAAAAAGTAAAATCAAGTTAGATCAATGCTGCCACAAACTTCCTGTCAAAACTTTTATTGTTGACATTTGAAAAACAAGTTACTAAAAATACAACTAATGAACAGTATTGTTTGCCAATTTTTTCTTATGGTTAGACTATAAGCTAATATTTCCACTGTCCAAAAGCTCAAATAAATATGTAAGATAGCAAATCAGATACATCTTTATTTTGCAGGATATAATCCTCTTCCATACCACAACATCACAATTACAGATTTTGTCGTCTTAAAAATAAAAATGTTTAGCAGGAATGGGGTTTTTCTTTGCTGTGTTTATTACAAAACATTTCCCTCTCTCAAAGAATAGCTGCTAAGACCATGACTCATACTTTGAAATAAAAATTGAATACTGAATTTTGAATCCAAATAGTAATGGCTCTTAAGTGTGGTTTTTATAGGCCACTGCTTGCTCTCAGAAAAAAAAAAACAAAAAAAAAACAAAAAAAAAACGAAGAAAAAAAAAAAACCACAAACACATCAATAAACTAATACTTTGTAATCTAACTTTTATGAGCTTGTATTTCTTAGTTCTTGGCAAAGCTGTTTTTCTTCTCAAACATTTGCTGAAGTGTTAAACTAGCTTAAGTTTACCAAAGTAATAACTGTTTTCTGGGGTACACTTCAAAAATTAGTCACCCTACAATGTAGTGTCTTTGAATTAAGGAAAATGTTAAAACAGATGTATACAGTTAAAAATAACTAGGTGTGGTCTCTATAAACTTCGGTTCAGAAACCTGTATGTAGAGCTAAAGTTTACTTCAGCATAAACATTAACAAACAGGGAGGGAAGAGAATCAGATCTTTCACAGAGCTGTACTTGACCATATCTTATAGACAAAGCAGAATAACAATGCATGTAACAAAAACAGTAAAAGTATTATTTTTAAAAGTTGATAGTTACAAATAGGGTACATTAACAATTTTCTACTTTATTTCAGTTCAATTTTCAACATACAGTCTACTGTTTTTCAAGATATTTGAAGACTTAAAACAAAACTTCTATAGACTACTTGCAAACAGTAAAATTTAAGTAAAATGCTTACATTCTTATTTGAAAACAAAAATCATGTAAAAAAAAAAATGGTGGGTGCAAGTTCTGTTCTCTGTTGCAATCTCATGTCAGGTTTATTATTCCTAAAAAGAGAGAGAAGATAAAGATTAGCAAAGATATAGAGTATGAAAATGACCTATAAAGTCATTGTTCCTAAAAACTAACTGGCCCACCAAACCCACGAATCTGTTAAAGTCACTAACAACTTGTAATTTTCTACCTTTTCTTCTTTACGCCTGTCCTTCTTTTCTTCATTATTTTCTATGGTCTCTTCTTCATCTTCAACAATCCCGTCCCCTTGGTATTTGTCATGAGTCCATTTTGGACTGCTACCTGACTTTTTGAAGTTAAAGCGCCCTCTGCCACGTTGAAAAGTACCACGACCTCTTCCTCTTTTGGCCCAATAATCGACACCATCATCTCTGTCGTCATGCTACAGAAAAGGTAAAAATGATCATCACCGAAATGTCTTTCTTATAAGAAAAATTATTATACCCCGAAATCATAAGTCATGGAATAAACTCCTGATTTGGTTTATTTTTACTGTTACCAAGTAAAAACAGAGAAATTGAGTAACTTGCCCAAGGCCACACAGCAGTAGACCTTTGCACTACCCTGTACCATATCACCTACAGAATACATTTCTCAGTAATCTTGGTAACATAATTACATTTTACTGCTTAGTTAACCCAAGCATTGAGAGCTGCCCAGACAATTTTTTTGGAGAATCTCAACTGCCAAATTACTGCCAAATTTCAGGTTGTTTATTTTTCCTTCCCTTTATTTCAATCTAAGTCCACTTGTTACTATTTATATTGCATGTAAATGAGACCAATATTTTTCCAAAGACTTGACATGAGTCATAAAGATGTAAAAGTTATAAAAATATCAGTACAATATCAACATTAAACAGGTGGTATGAATTATACCTTACATATAGAAAACAGATTTTAAATCTGAGATTTAAATCTAAATCTATATATATTACATATCAAACTTCAGGGCTAGGTCATCTCAAATCATGATGGCATAGTCTCTAGAGAAATACCTCAACTTATTTCTTCTTCACCAACCTGAAGTACTTGAAGCTATTATATCCCAATCTTAATTTTTCATTAACTGCTTCCAAATAGAGATTCACAAATTTATTATTCCATTAATCAAAACATCCTGCAAAACTATAAAGTATCTGACTTTGTGGACTAGTCGATGAGTATTATATCCCAAAGTTTTCCTGTAATATAATTTAATTAACTGCTACCCCCCATACACAAATGAGACATAAGGTAAAATGATGCCACTGTAGGAGACAACAGGCATAAATGCAATGTTGCATAACCTATGGATTACTGATATTGATCAACTGCCCAATGTTGATCAATTATATGATATGAGCACATTTTTCAAAACAGAATGTACCTTTGTGCATATTCATTAATACAGGTCACCATCCTGCATGACTTAAAAAGCTCAATTACACATGCAATTAACAGACTACATAAAGGAACACTTACAATTCCTAATAATCTATCTTTACCAAACAAATGAAACATTACTAGCTAGAGGTGTGCAAGGCTCCATAAAAAACAAATTTAGCAACTATCAAAAGTATAAACTTCAATGCCATAAAGTTTAATTTGAAACTGGAAATAAACTTTTAAAATAGTCTGCCATTCAAAATAATGCTCATGCAATTAGATAATTTCAGACTCCCTTTGGTATCAGCACACCCAACTCCAAAGTTGTTGTTTTCTGTTTGTGTATTTACACAGTATTCCATAAATTTGTGGGAAAGGCAAAAAGGTTTTGCTGTCAGAGGCATGAATTTGTATCTTAACAGAAACTGTGACTTTTATTTCATTTTAAAAGAGAGAGAACCTTGAGGAAACACAGATAATCTGTAGTGTCCAGCCCAGTGTGTGACAAAAAAAAAAAGGACTCAATCTACTGTGCTATAAATGTTTTATAGTGTTTACTATGGGAAGTCACTGTTTCTGATTACTTTCTATTTATTTACTCATCCAATCCTCACAACCACCCCACCAAATACTGTTACTAATATCACTTCAGATATGAAAAAACTGAGGCATAGAGGAATTGAGTAACTTGCCAAAGGCCACAGCATTAGACCTTTGCACTACCCTTACCACATCACCTACAGAATACATTTCCCAGTAATCTTGGTAACAGTGAATGATTACCACACAAGGCAGCTAGAAGTATAAAACAGAAAAAGCAGCAGCAAAGGTAGACATGCGGTTAAACCAATCAGTGCTTTTAAATTTACAATAATTTGAAATTTAAAATTATTAAAAATAGCTAGAACATTACACTATATATTGTACTTCAGAAGTGATATTTTTATGCTAAGCATACTAATCCTCAAGTTCTAACACCCAAACTAACTCTTAATCCTCAAGTTTAATCTTACTACAACTTTTTAAAAAAATTTCACAGCCCTGACTGGTTTGGTTCAGTGGTTAGTGTCGGCCTGTCGATTCCAGTCAAGGACATGTACCTTGGTTGCGGGCACATCCCTGGTAGGAAGTGTGCAAGAGGCAGCTGATCGATGTTTCTCTCCCATTGATGTTTCTAACTCTACCCCTTTCCCTTCCTCTCTGTAAAAAAAAAAAAATCAATAAAATATATTTTAAAAATAAAATAAAATAAATAAAAATAAAAATAATTTCACAAATGATAAAAGGGCCAGAGAAGTCAGGTATGTGCAGTATACAATTAAAAATGTGATGCACGGAGGTCATATTACAACCAAGATCTTCTGAATCCCATTATCTCTTCTCCATAGAATAATTATCAAAAGGTTAAATTCATTAAAACTCCAATCTCAAACCCCTTTTCCCACCAAGGGTTTCCTCTTCCTCAGGATACGCATCAACTCACCACCAAGAACTTGCCCACTGCAGCACTTTTCCATTTGCTCCAACTTCATATACTTGCCCTCCATAGAATTTCAGGTTCTAAGACTATTATATCTCCAGGAGTACTTATTATTGAAAATATCTCCATATCTGCATAAATCCAAGTTTTAAGATAGGAAATTTCAGAAAAGTATGCAACAAATGTTACTATTACTCAGTACTGGAAGGACAATTCCGTGCTTGCAGAACCCCGGCTTTGGAGCCAATGAATGCATGGCAAATTCTGACTGCACTTCTGCTAGCCATGTAATATTAACTTTGGTCAAGCTACTCAATTTCTGTGCCTCACTGTTTTTCACATGTAAAAGTGAAATGATGGCCCCACCTCAAAAAGATTTTATAAGCATGAAATAAACACGGAATTATGCCCAAAGTATCATTAATACTAAGCATTGTGTTTCATTAATATATATAAACCTTCCATGCTAGTAAATTATTTTAAGTTTATAGTTTTCAATCTCATTTCCTCAGAATTATATTTTTGTTTATACTCCTCAACACTAGCTGTCTAAAAATCTAGTTATCTTTACAAAAAATCTTTTAAATTTAAATAGCCATGTAAAAACCAGTTGTCATTTCAATGGCTCATTAAGAACCAAAGTAGGCCAAGACCGGTTTGGCTCAATGGATAGAGCGTCGGCTTGGGGACTGAAGGTTCCCAGGTTCGATTCCGGTCAAGGGCATGTACCTTGGTTGTGGGCATATCCCCAGTAGGGGGTGTGCAAGAGGCAGCTGATTGATGACTCTCTCTCATTGATGTTTCTAACTCTGTATCTCTCTCCCCTTCCTCTCTGTACAAAATCAATAAAATATATTTAAAAAAACAAAAACCAAAGTAGGCCCTGGCAAGGGTGACTCAGTTGGCTGAGGATCTTTCCATGCACTAAAAGAGGTCACCAATGGATTTTTCTCTCCCACATGTATGTTTCTTTTCTCTCTCTCTCCCTCTCTCTCTCCTTTCTCTTCTCTCCCCCTCCCTCTAATATCAGTAAAATAACGTGTTGTTTTTGTTTTTTTTTAAGAACCAAGATAATTAACTTTGGGACTTGATTTACAAGAAAAAAAATGTATTGTGTTCATTTTACTTCTAGTAAACATCAGTTTGTACCAAATGCACATGTATGCTTAATACAGAAATGTGAATTTTTAAATATAACCAGAACAGCAACATATAAAATATTACTACTACTTCTTCAAATAACACACCTATTAGTAAAACTGCTAATGACAGGCTATCCCAATTTAAGGTAAAAATATGATATCAGGTTATGAAATACCACCACAAAAAAATAAAGGGTATGGCCTAAATTAAATATTTGTAAAAAAGTACAAGTATTTTTTAAAATCTACTAATTTTACCTCTCATTTATCTTTTTTTGACTTTTCACATATGATCTACTCTCTGGCATTTTTACCATCACCCAACTCCTTACCCCATCTTTCAAAGGTTGGCCTTTTAATCTCTCCTCTTCTGAGAGATCTTATATAATGGCTTTTGTTGTGATCTGTAAAATGATGGCTCCTAAATTTCTCTTTCTCTCTAGAAATGCATTAAGCAACTATCCATTGCACATCTCTTCTTGATTTATCTTGGGCATTTCAAGAACAGAACTTAATTTCCTCTTTCCCTTGTATCCCCTTTATCTCAAGAGAATTTCATCTCAGTACCAATACCCAACTAGAGGGTCTCTGAGTAAGTCCCCCCAAAAGTTACTTTTCTCAAATCTAGCCCTAGCTCACTCAAAATCACTCAGATGTATCTGTTCACAACCATGATTCTTCTAGAACTGTTTAAAGCCCAAACTTACAAAAGTATTATGGCTTTCCACAACTTAGCTCCTGCTTTTGCTTTATTTTCCAGAACTTATACAAAGCATCTAGCCACCTGAGTCCTGGAATTCCATGAATCAAGATAGGGTCTAGTAATAATTAATGTCGTTTTTAAACATTCGTTTAAAATCTTGCTTGGCGTTGACTTGTATTGACATAACCTTCAAACACGTGGTATCTACAGAACGTGTGAAGTGCAATTAACAAGTTTTGCTTGAAAAAGTTTGTGTTTGGTTTGGTTTTTGTTGCAAAACTAGGGCTAAGAAGATGGCAGATGAAGAGCATATTCGGCACTGCATGCTTTACGAGTTCCAATTAGGAAGAAAAGCAAGTGAGGCTGCAAAAAACATCTGTAGTGCTCTTGGTCAAGATGCAGTTAGCGCCAGAAAATGCCAGCGTTGGTTTGAGAAATTTCACGAGGGAAATTTTTCGTTAGATGACAAGAGTGGTCGAGGCCGTGTGTCCAATTTTGATCAAGAAGCTCTTCAAGCTCTTTTGGTGCAAAATCCTCAAATTACCCAACAAGAGCTTGCGACAACTTTAAATTGTTCATAAAAAACAATTTCCAATCAATTGCGTGCACTTGGCAAAGTCCAAAAGTTTGGAAAATGGGTTCCTCATGAGTTGACCGACAACAACCGTAATCAAAGAGTCACAATTTGCAGTTCGCTCCTCTCTCGTCAAAAACCGTTTGCCGTTTTTAGAGCAAATTGTTACCGGAGATGAAAAATGGGTGCTGTATGTTAATTTGAAAAGGCGGCCTCAATGGTTGGACAAAAATGAGGCTCCGCAGCCCACGCCAAAACCTGACTTGCATGCAAAAAAAGTGATGTTGTGTGTTTGGTGGAATTTTAAAGGAATTCTTCATTATGAACTTTTACCATCTAACCAAACCATTACAAGTGCAGTGTATAGTGCCCAATTGGAAAGGTTAGCCCAAGCTTTAAGAGAAAAAGAACCCGCGCTGATTAATCGGAAGGGCGTAATTCTTCACCACGATAACGCACGACCGCATACTGCAAGAATCACTGCTGAAAAACTGCGCCAGTTGGAATGGGAAGTTCTCCCTCAACCTGCATATTCTCCTGATATTGCCCCTTCCGATTACCATTTGTTTCGTTCTTTGCAAAACTGTCTTCTTGGAAAAAAATTTAATAATGAAGAATGCCTCAAAAATGCATTGACCGAATTTTTTGCATCAAAATCACAAGAATTTTACAACAGAGGGATTAAAATGCTTCCTGAGCGTTGGGCACAAGTAGTAGAAAACAACAGCAACTATATTGTTGATTAAATTTTGTTGTATTGTTTAAATAAATTCGATTTAAAAAAAGTACTAGAAAACGACATTAATTATTACTAGACCTAATATTTCAGTTCTGTTATCTACAGAACACCTGATCATTTTTAAAACTCAAGATTCAAGCCAAGGTCCTTTACAAATTATTCTGAATCACTCTTTCCTTTGCAATAATCCACCATTTCCTCCTTTAGAGAAAATCCACAATATATAATTAGAATGCCTGCTTCACCCTTACTAGTTTCTAAGCCAAAAATGGAATTATTTCATATTTCTCTTCGCACCCTTCAGACCTAGCATAAATGTTATACATAAATTCTTAAATCAAAAGAGATGGATCTTTTAAACTGCTCTATACTATAACAATAAAATGCCTTTCACTTTCCAGATTGTCAATTCAAACAACTCAAGCATAAATTTCTCCTCATAGGAGTACAAGCAAACATTATGTATAATGTACTCTATAAAAATTTAGCATTTTTGGACTCTTGGTCATTCAAGTACCCCAAAAAAGAGGCAATTGGGAACTAATTTCTGAAACAATCATATTATCCATTCTCCAAACAAAATATCAACCTACTTCAGAATATAGCTCTATCCTCTAACTTAGCTGATGTGTCATGGAAATTCATTCAGGTTTATACAAATAATACATTCATAAAAGCGAAATGACAGATACAATTCTGTAAATCCAGTACTCTCTTCCTATTTCCTCTTTTTCTCTAGATATGCATTAAGCAACTATCCATTGCACATCTCTTCTTGATTTATCTTGGGCATTTCAAGAACAGAACTTAATTTCCTCTTTCCCTTGTATCCCCTATATCTCAAGAGAATTAATACATTCATAAAAAGTAACTAAAATAATTAGGTCTGCATAACTAATCTCTAAAACATGACTTCCCTGAGAAGCTATGACAAAAATGTATGCTTCTGTGGTAATAGTTCTGGTGTTTCCTTAAGTCTGTGTCTGTAATGCAGGACAGACCCTTCTCCTCCATGTCAAACTGCAGAAAATTTCCATCACTAAACTAGGGAATCTTTCATGAACCACCTCCTCTAGTTTCATTCCTTAGAAAACTACCTCAAGGAAGTAAAGCATCACAAGGAAGCATCAAATGAGTGTATATATGATAGCTACTTCCCATAATGAGATTTCTCATCCTCCTTTTACTCCTAAGTTAATAGTCTCCCTGAAATCCTTAATTACATGTAGAATTCTTCTCCTTGTCTTTCATTGAAACTGGATGTGATAATAAACAGTAAATTTTAATGAGAAGTTTCTACAAGTTTCACTGTCTTATAGACAGATAAACCATATTTAAGTTCTCTGAAGTGGCTATCAAATCAGGTATAAATTTTAGATACCCTGATCAGCCCATTGGTGATGTCAATAAAGAACAGACAGGACTAAAGGAACCCACATTTTCAGTACTTCAAATCATCTGGGTAATGAATGAACTTTTATTTAAAAGTTCCCACATTATGGTGAAATCTTTTCATAGCAGTGAATATCTGTGTGCTTTCAAAATTAATGCAAACCAAATAAAGACATATCTAACACCCACCAAGAAGTACTTCTTGCTCTTTGGGGTATATTCTGGATCCCATTCCTCTTCCTTCGGTCTCTTTTGAAAAGTAGTATTTGAGTTGTTTGGACCAGTATTTGTCCCAGCAAAAACTCCTCTGGCTCTTCCTCTGCCTCTAATTCGAAACTGATTAACATTAACAAAATTGTTTAGTAATGCAATTAAAAGTATTTAAGTTACATGCAAACTCTTAATTTTACTGCAGTAACAAAAAACTTATTTCCTAATTTCCTTCTTAAATTCCAGCTCATAGCCACTGAGGATGGAAAAGATGGCCATTTTATATCATAGGCAAAAAACATTGCCCTCTGAAGTGAGGTTAAAAAGAAATGCACAAAAACTAAGTGTTCGAATACTGCACTCTCTATGGCCTGATCTAATATTTTTAAATAAAAATAATCAAATTGGTTCTTTTCCATTTGACTAGCCAAAAGAGTTATCTAATTCCTTTGAATTGTCACAGTAACCCCAAGTGTTCAACTATACCTATCATCAGTTAAAGTAATGCTCTTCTTTTTCTCAATGATCTACTCAATGAACTCTAAAATATCCAAGTGGAACTCGATCAAGATAGGAATCTGAAAATTGAAGAGTCAAAAAGAAAATGCACTACTAAGAAGTTATTAAAGTAATTAAAACATGAAGGTAATATGTATGCTATATAGAATAAAAAGTTATGGTTCCTAGAACTTGAACAGGGAAAAATCAAAATGAGAAAACATATGGATTTTTAAACACGGGTCTCAACCTATTAATCTCCTTGACCTAGAAGCACTATGTATAGTTATTAATTCCAAAGTTAAGAAATGTATTTAGTTTATATTGATGCTTCTAAATCTCAAAATGGCATTTCTTTTAATCAGGCAAAAACATTGATCACTCTGTATAAAAGAAGTATCATCCCACTCTGGACCCTCCTACCTTCCCCTAAATGGCATTTCTTAAATGAAGACATTTCAAATACAATTTCATTTTTCAAGACTAATTCTAACTGTTTAAGTAATGACTCATTACAATGTCCAACTCTTGTAATTTAACTTTCCTATGTACAGTATTCTAAGGTAAAGTCTTATCAAATGATCAAGGATAATTTTATCACTTACAAAGGTTCCTCTTGGTCGACTAACTCCTGGAAAGCCCGAGTATTCTTTCAGTTCATGGTGAGTTTTAAATTCTTCTTCTCTTTCCTTCTTAGTCTCCTTTTCTTCTCTAGAACTAGGAGAAGAAGGTGATGCTGAAGAGGATGAAGATCGAGAATGATCTTGCTCTCTACTTTTATGTTTACTGAAAAATAAAGAAAACAAGAAAAATGTGCTATCTTTAAAAACGATGAAGAACCTGTTGAATCTTATAATAAGAGGGATAAGGGATATTTTTCAAGCCAAAAAACTATCCCCTATTACAATGATACATAACTGAGGTAACTGGGTGTTAAACTTTGACAGTCTGTTTCCATTCTCCTTCAATATTTGTTTTACATTACTACTGAAAATCATACTACCCTGTTTCCCTGAAAATAAGACAGTCTTATATTAATTTTTTCTCCCAAAGATGCGCTAGATCTTATTTTCAGAGGATGTCTTATTTTTCCATGTGCTACGTCTTATTTTCGGGGAAACACGGCAGCAGTCTGGAAACTTCAAGTATGAGGTTCAGTTCTTCCATATTTTTAAACTTTTTTTGTTTTTGGTGTTATTTTAAGGAAAGGAAAAAGAAGAGTAGGAAAAGGCAAGTTTCAAAATGACTGCAGTTTGTATACCATGTGAGAATAGTTGGTATGGTTTGGGCCATTACTCCGTTATAGAAATAAAAAAACACATAACAGTACAATAAAAAACACAAGTAAAATCCACCATTTACCTAATGAATACCAAAAATAAATAAATAAATAAAAACGATTATCTATGATACTTAGTATTCCTATTATTTATTTGACACTATGGTGATCAATATTATATGATTCTAATACAACACCCGAAAAAGTCATACCTGCAATAACTCTTACCACTGCTAACAGTATCCATGGAAACATTACTTTGAAAGAATAATACACATTGCTATTTCATAAAAACTAATCCTTCCTCCCCCCATCTCTCCCATGTTAAACCACTAGATATCAGTTTAAAATTCTTGTACTCTGGGTGTTATGAGTTGAAAAAGTGCGGAATCAAGCATAACGAACCAAAGTTCTTACACAAACTGTTTCTAGAAATGCACTGCATTGAAGTCCAACCTCCTGATGTAGCCTGGATAATAGGACACATTAATTTGTCATTTTTTTTTTCAGTGTTAGCTTGCTATTCCAAAGTTTTTGTCCTCATCCACCATAAGCCGAGTAAAAGACAAATACATTTTTGCTGTAAAACAAATAATTTTAATTGTTTAAATTTAAACATTCGATTACACAGTCAAAATTGAAAGCAATTAAGCTGACAATTATTAAAGGCTAATTAGAAGCTAAAACCTAATTCAGACAGTTTAAACAATTACCTGTCATCTTTGTAAGATTTGTATTCCTTGTAATCTTTTGGAGTTTTTTCCTGCTTTCTTGATCCACTGGATTCCCTGGAGCCCTTGGAATCCCCCCGTTCTTTGCTTCTTTCTTTTCTCCGACGATCAATGTCATGCCGAAGATCAGCAGAATCACACCTTAATTTTTTATCTCCCTATAAAAGATAGATACAAAATAACTTTCAGGGGAGAGAAAGAAGAAAAAATATATTTATGTACATATATAGCCAAATTTTATGCCAGTTTCTAAAGTGACATTTTAGGATCAGGAAAAAACAAAAGGATCATAAACTACTTCCATACTTAATTTTTGTTACAAAAAATGTAGTTGGTTCTTTTTACTAAATCATGTACACAAGAGCAATGAGACCAGAAAAGTTATTAAAATCTAATTATCTTAAAAATATCCTAAATTCTTATGCAAAACAATCCATCAATTTTTATGCAATAAAATAATTATTTTTCCACTCAACAATCCTCGTTATTATCCTTCATCTTTCAAAATGGCATTTTTTTAAGTACGTGAACATTGACAAAGGTTATAATCTAGTTGTGATGTAGCCATCTGCCTATAAAGTTAAGATATCCTAAAGTAATAGTTCTAATTACTTAAGCCTCAATATCATCAAGCTCTTTCCATAGATGACCAACCCAATAAAAACCACTTAAAGGATTCTGTAATTTCCATAACATGCAACTAGAATATGATTAATGAAACCAATTCAAGTTAAACAAGGGTAGAAACAAAGCCAGAAAGACATTATTCCCAATCCTGTACTCAGTATCTTGGGCCATATACTGCCCTTTCTCAATTCAGGTATTGCAACGGACATTAGTTTAACTGGGTCACAATTCACCTCCTTCTTGTTCCATTGCTTTTTCAAATACTATATAATTTAGGAAGATGGAAAGAGGAATCTAGGAATGAAGAAAAATTACACATCAGTAAGATGCTAATAATGTGGACATCCTTGCTAGTATTCAACAATAAGTAGTACTGGGAAGTCTAGCTAAAATATTCATAAGCATTCATAAACCTGAAAATATAAGTATATCTCCAAATAATATCAACTACTCACCTATTTGCTCCCAGGCTAACCAAGAAAAAAATCTAATCAAGAGCAAAAGTATCTAATCAAGAACAATACCTATTCACCTAGGTATTACCAAGCCCACAAGTACCAACCTAAAGGAAAGTGGAAATAGTTTGTAAACTCTAAACTATATATATATTACACATTAACATATATATAATTCATTCAGACAGGAAGATAAAAGATAAAAGGCAATGTCATATCCGCTTGTCCATCCATCAGTAGTAACTATTTTTCCCCCTCCAGTTCAAAAACCGTTCGTACTAACTAGAGAAGCAAAATACTCAGTGTCGGAGCACAAGGATAGACTAAATTGTTGGCAAAACAAAACCAACACTGAATCCAAGGTATTAAAAGTAAAAGCCAAAATGGGTATTCACTTTTCAGAATTGGCTTTTCTAAGATTAATATATCCCATGCAAAGAAACCCTTTCTAATCTCTACATTCCATATCTAGTAAGTCATATTTAAAATTTATACACAACTATTGAAAGCTTCTAGTAATAAAAGTGCAAATGATTCCATAATAGGCCCATTGTTCAACAACTTTCCAAAACAGATGTATTCTCATTTTTCTGAATGGAAAACCAATGCCCAAGAAGCTAAATGTTTTCCAAATATCAGACAGTATTTGGTGACAGCCAGAATTTCAACAAAGCAGTACTTCCAAGTCACCTAACCTTTTCATTACAACTGCTCCCTTTCTACTTTTCCCCAGAATATCTGAGCGCCCTCCCTAGCCCCACAAATAAATTTCATTCTCATAGAACTCCATCAAGCCAGTTACTCAAGAGTTCTCTCTCAAGTTTAAAAACATTCACCCCCTCAAAAAACCCACAAATACTCTAATAGTGACACATAGTTTTTGTTCCAAACATTCATTTGTAAATCAGTTATTAGAATGATTATTTCTTAGTCCAGATAAAAAATGCTCAGTAGCCATGGTATTACTTTTGTGAAGAACCTACAGGTATTAATTTAGGCACACATAAATCAAGGAATATTTATTCCAGCTCATCCACTTCATAAAACTTTATAGAAACCCTAATATAATTTGTATCATTGCTTTTTAAATGTCCCTTAAACTGCCCGTTGATTCTTTACCATTTTCTTGGAAGTAATTTCTTCCTTTCATTAGCATTTTTTAAAATTACTCTTGACTTAGGGAGCATCTGAGATCTTGCTCTCCACATCTATCAACAGTTTGGCTCACATAAATTCTTATAAAAATTCACCAAAAAAATAAAATTCTACTCTTGGTTTCTTAAATAGTATACTGTCAGCCTAATTTCTTCTAGGAAGGGAATATTGTGTATGCTTGTGTGTGTGTGTAAACATTTTGCCTAGACAAACTATGCTTCATATAATATTAACAAAGCTAAACTTAACGTTATAAAACTGTCCCTTCAAAACATACCTTTTGATTTTCTTCTTTGAAAACTCTCTCTTCCCCTGCTAAACGGGTATGCTTCCTCAGGGCACTTGGAGAGATGTCAATTCTCCTTAATATAAAATAAAGTCTATTTGTAGTCACATTAACTTAATGGCACAAAAAAATCCTTAGAATTTTTCATTTTGTGAAAGAAATACTGGAAAGATATTTCTCTCCCAATCGACTAATTTTTAGCATAGTAAAATTATTAACCTAATTACTGACAATTAAGGAATAAAACTATTTCCTTTAAATATGTATTAAAATATCCTCAATGAAAGAAGTAATAGGATCATTTACTAGCATTTCTAAGTGTCCCCAGTATTTTTATTCAGTGCATCTTTAATTTTATTCTGCACCTTTCCTTGCCTTTTTAAGCTTGTGTCTGTCAGGTGCAACTTCTCAGCACTTCCTCAGCAATACCAAACACCACATTTACTATGTAATAAGTACTATTATATATTTTATAGCCAATAATAACTAATTGTCACCACCCTGCAAAATAGGCAGTTATCCTTATTTCGTAGGTGGAAAAAAACTAATGTTCAGAGATTAAATAACTTGTTCAATTCAATTAAGTGATAGAGCCAGGATTTGAACATTTACACTTACCTGACTTCAATGTTCATGCTCATTTCATGAAAAATAATTCTACCTCTCCACCAAGCATTTTTATTTTACAAACTTATTGGAATTAAATTAAAGGATTACTCTAGGTCAGGGTTTTTCAACCGCTGTTCCGCAGCACACTAGTGTGCCGCGAGATGTTGCCTGGTGTGCCGTAGGTGCAGACAAGAATTTTCTAATTTTTCACTATTTTGTTTACTTAATATTTCATAATAAAGTAATTATAAAATACTTTGTGTTTATTTAATTCTTATTCAAGAGAATTACTTTATATATAGTCAATATAGGCACAGAGTTAAATTTTTTAACATTTTCTAATGGTGGTGTGCCTCGTGATTTTTTTCATGAAACAAGTGTGCCTTTGCCCAAAAAAGGTTGAAAAACACTGCTCTAGGCATCCAACCCCCTCCCCAAAAGCAAATGCGGTAACTATTTTAATTCCATACTGGGAAGTAATAAAAGAGTATTTTAAATCCTAACAACCAGCTTAAACCAAATAAACTGAAAATTAAGAATAAACGATAAATTACAAACTTTTAAAGACTGGAAATATATTCAAGGTATAAGTGAGGAATAAAACCAACCAAAGTTGATTTGTATCATGATGATAACAGTTCCAATATAATCTAGTTTAAACTGTCTTCCTATCAAAATAGCATTTTTATATGCCTATTCAATAGTACACATACCTGTGTATCTCGGGGCTCTTTTGGCGGGTACTATGTTCTTCAGTGGCTTTCTGATAGGAAGTGAACCTCTCATTTAGGGTCATCGCAGGTGATTTGAAGTATTGCTCTGTTGATTTAGGAGAAATACTGCCCAATTAGTTATCTTACTTTAAGAGGGATATTCATTTGTGACAGAAGGGCATGTAGCAAGTGAAAAGAAAATAAAAATATTCAAGAAACGAAGCAGAAAGGAATCAAGTGTTACAAGAGTTCCTCCTACCCTGTCCCTTTTGTAACTCTTGTACCTCAACAGGAAATTGATATAAAGTTCCTCACAGGTCCCTGTCAGTACTACATATAATCCAAAAACAATAAACAGATTAAATTGAGTCTTAAATTCCATTTTAATAATGCACTATTTCATCAAACAGAACAAAAACAAAATGTAAATATCCTTATACCTTGCCAATTATGAACAAATGGAAGTTACTTCAAGTAATCATTTGTAGAACATAAAAATGACCTAAGTACATTGCTGGTTTTAGTAAACAAAATTATTTCATCGAAAACTATACTAACAAAATATGGATTTAAGAAAAAACTTAATACTGCTATTTCAATTAGAAAATATTTTTCAATTAACATTCATTAATTATTCCAAAAATCTGGCATTTTGGCAAACCTGACAGCACATTTGATATTAATGTCTTGTCATTCTTTTAACAATTTTTAAATTAGTGATATCAATACTAATTTTTAAACTAGTTCATGGTATGTTGTAAATGTAAAATACAAAAGACGTGTAAGTCATGAAATGTTACATTACGAAGCAAGCTATCTGCTTAACAGGTCAACATACATCTGTGTCAACTTACCGCCCAATATCCAGCACATGTCTCATAACCAATTAAAACTTGAAACGGCCACTACAAGGGTAGTGCCTCAATCTTAATTCCATGAAACCCAGGAATTTGAGCTAGCAACTCAGTTTTTATGCCATTTTTGCCAGGAAGACAGAAGATTCAACTTTGCCTGTATCTTTCAACAGCTATTTTACTTTGAAACATGGATTTTGCCATTTCAAAACATATTCCAGGACCTAGTTACAATGAAAAAGAAAACATCACTGGGCATTTTCAGCTCTAGATTAAGTAAGAGCTGTTTAGATCGGTTGCACAATACCAATAATAAAACATATCTACAGTTCTTAAAAAAAAAATGAAAAAGCAAAAAATTTTATCAAAACCTGATCTCAAAATTCAGCAATAAATTGTAAAATGTGGAGACAGGTCAAAAAAATGTAAAAAAAGAAAAATGTTAATGTTTCATAATTTATGTACCACAGTAATATGGTCATAAACTGTTTCACAAACCCAGTTATAGCCAAATAAAAGGATTTTGTTACCATGCTTAAGTAATTACAATAAAAATGAAATTCATTAATTATTCAGTTTTGAAATATTAAGTGCATAAAGAATTGCTAGTGATAAGTTTCAGCTATCACGAGTTGTTCTCGTGTCAAAAAACAAACTTTTTTAAAAAAATGGTTTTTAAGACCAATAGCTATGGTGATTCCTGAATAAGAACCTATTTCACGACATGCTGCCTTTTTCAAGACAAAAACAAAACAAAACTTAGAACCTAACTGCCCCAAAACTCATACCCTAAACCTTTGAAAATAATTTTGAAACTACCGTTTCCCCGAAAATAAGACAGTGTCTTATATTAATTTTTTTCTCCCAAAGTTGCGCTAGGTCTTATTTTCGGAGGATGTCTTATTTTCGGGGAAACACGGTAGAATTACATAGTGGTGTAAACAGCACATCAGAACTGTAGTTGAAATGATTACTTTTATCATCTTTAGAACCTAAAGAAATCTCACCATTATTCTAATTATTATTCATGTAATCATTACTAATCTACTTTTTAATTTTTTTAACTTGTTTACCTTTTAAAGATCCTAATATGATCCTAGCCAGTTGCTCAGTGGTTAGAGCATTTGGCCCCTGGACTGAAGGGCACAGGTTCTATTCTGGTCAAGAGCACGTACCTTGGTTGCAGGCTTGATCCCGGGCCCCAGTAGGAACATTTGCATAAAGCAACCAATAAATCTCTCTCTCACATCAATGTTTCTTTGTCTCTCCGTATCCCTTCCACTCTCTCTAAAAATCAATGGGGAAAAAAAATAACTTCTGGTAAGGATTAAAAAATAAAGTAAAAAATCCCAATATGCCCATGGTTCAGAAAAGAGATTCCTGGTAAAGGCACATGCCCAGATTGTGGGCTTGATCCCCAGTAGGGAGGCATTTAGGAGGCAGCTGATCAATGTTTCTCACTGATGTTTCTTTCTGCCACCCTCCCTTCCTCTCTTTCTAAAATCAGTAAAATATCTTTTTTAAAATCCTAATAATTTTCTGGTTTATCATGAAGAAAAGTTAAGTATTATAACGAAGTAATACTAAGACAAGATAGGACAATCGTGTTTTCCCAAAGTTTCAGGTTTTAAAAGTTGAAAGAATTCTTAATATTCAGTAACAATGCAGTTTTTGTTATAAACCTAAGCAAATACATTATGTCATACAAATACAGGTAATGGAAGGTAATCTGTAAAAATTCTGCATTTCAAATACAGTATAATACCACATTTCAGAGAAAAAAAAAAAAACTTTCAGCATTAACAAAATCTGCATCATGTTTTACCATGATATAAAATCTTAGGGTATGTTTTAGCTCTTAACATTTCAATTAGTTTTTATTAAATATCTTCATGCTCAAAAGACTGAGAGCACTCTTCATGAAATACTCCTTTTCCCAAATTTTTAATGCTGTCGGTATTCTTGCTGTCCCTGGGCTAAATTAATCATTAAGCATTGCTGTTCGTTTTCTTCTATTTGCAGGAGAAATTCTATTCACAATACTAAGCATACTAAACATACCTTTAACATGATGAACCAAGGACACAATGTGCTGAATAAATGACTCTGAAGTGCTCTTGCTGGCCTGAGGCAACTTAATGTGGTCAAAGATGGATCGGAATTCTTGCTCCTTCTTGACAGAATGGACAAGTGTACTAGCAAGTAGCCTGTCTTTAGTCAAGGAAGCAGGTCTGGAACATATTGGTACAAACACACACATATAAACAAAATATACCATTGGTTTGAATATAAAAATGAGAAACATTCAGAAAAAAAAAAAAGGAATATTAACTAACCACCCACATTTTAAAAGCCATTTTATTTACTGGACATTAATGTGAAATTACCTGTTAGAATCATCAAGAGGAACAGGGGCCATTTTGAGTTTGACTTCAGGACGATGAGAATCGCTGGCTATCATTTTAATCCTAAGTGGGCTCTCCTCTCTGAAGGTAGACTTTTCTCGTGTATCCAGATTCTTGTGTAGAGGGGGACTGTAATCAAAGAGGTCTTTGAGCTTTTCAGACTTTACCTGCTCAGGTGACTGAGTTTCTTTCTTTACTGTTCTCTCAGAATTTTTGTCATCTTCCTTGTGCTTATCTTTTGTAGTGCTAGGCCTTTCCACTACATATCCAGTCTCTTTAAGTTTATAATTTTTTTCTTCTCTAAATCCATCACTTTCTCTATTGCCTTTCAGTGAAACTTTGGACTTGTACTTGTTTCCTTCCTCCTCAGTATTTCGGTGAGATGTAGTAGCAAAATTTTTACCCTGATCTGCAAGGACTGACTTCCTGAACTGTCTATAATCTTCTGTCTCCTCTGTATCATCCCCTTCTGAATCATTAAACTTTTGTTTTCCAGATTCTTTATCACTGAAGTAATCTAGGGTTTCCTGATCTTCCCATTCTCCCTCTGCCCTTCCTTTCTCTGATCCTTTCTCCTTTGGAGCTTCTTTATCCCTGGTATTACCCCTATCAAGCAGGAATACTCTAGACTCTTCATCTGTGAACCTGTGAATAAGCAAAGAAGAGTATGGTAACTCTGGATTGCATTCACTGTGGATAACTTGCATACTTAAATGCACTGCCCAATAGCACAGGATCAGTAATGAGGGAAAAACCCTACTGAACGTGTTTCCAGATTCCACTTCTAAACTTTAAAGGCACCCATATAACACTTAGGTACTGAGCTTTTAAATCAATTTATATAACTTCCTCAATTTTAAAAAGCACAAGCCATTCTCAAAAACCTGTTCTTATTCAGCCACAGCCCAGAAATCTGCACTACCATCCAAATTACCAGATATCCTATAACCTATTAGTACATCACAGCTTAAGTTTAACTTCTGAGGCTAAGAATCACTAGTAAACTATGTATTTACTCTACATCTGATTATACACAAACTTTCTGATTATTTCATTTAGCAACACTTGAAATTAGAATTCTAAACAAGTATCTGTTTCAAATATCACTAGTCAATACCACCATCTTTTCTAAGGTCAGGCAGATTTATTAAAAATTGGCAGCTAAACTATTTATACTACCACATAAGTTAAGTACATGAAATAGAATTGCATTATTTATATGTTACATTATAATGCTGAAGAGAATAAGATTTCAATGCTCTAACATAACAATTTCTAAAAATTTTGTTTTTACATGTTAGTTATCAGTTATGCTTTACACTACTCATTTCTCGTTTACATTCTTAATTCTGAACTTGCTAAAAATGGATTAAAAAAAGGAATATAAATTATTTTTATTAAAACACACAACTTTCAAAGTTGAAGAGATTTAAGTAAAATCAACCTGGAATTAACTTATAAAGGAATTCATGAGTAAAAATAGCTAAATACACATAGCAATGCAATTTTAATTCTCTTAAAGAGAATTCAAAAATTATTTTCATCAAAATTCTCTGCTTTTAGTTCTTACCTTTTTAAGAATTTTCCAGACTTTGCAGTTTCCTGATCTCCACCATCAGGATAAAATGAAGAACGTCCCCTAGCCTCATCTCTTGGAGCATTCTGTGTTGTGATTGTCTTTGCAGGGCTTCTTCGCGAAGGGATGTGATGAATTGGACTATTCTGAGAAGGACTGTATCGACTAGATCCATTTCCAACAGAACCTGACCCAGATCTTTCAGGACTATGCTGAATGGAATGTGAATGCTGAGAGGGGGTGTTTTTTGCAGAGTGGGCTGTACTGAGCATGGGCGCATCAGAGCAAGATGAACTCTGACTAGGTGGCGTAGCAATTGGTGAAGGACTATGGGGTGACCTAGGACTATTATCATAAGCAGAAAGGCCAGGCCAAATATCACCAGATGTGGCTGATGATTTATTAAACTCATCAATAGATTCAGATGGGTCATGCTCAAATGTATCTTTCGGTTCCTCCTGCGATTTATTTTTCAAAGGACTCTCTTCTTGGGGCTCCCCTTCAGATTTTTTGGTTTGTTTTTCCTGAGACCCTCGTCTTTTAGAGACAGGAGATTTGCTATATCGGGATGAAGAACGAGAAGAGGATGATCGTGGAGACCTAGAGGATCTATATGACCGGCGAGATCTGCTTCGGGATCTTTGAGAAGAAACGGATCTTCTTTTTGGACTTCTGGAACGTGAACGACCTCGTCTAGGACTTCTAGAGTGTCTTCTGTTCCAGACAGGTCTATAGCCTCCTCGATGATATCTACCTCCTCCACCTTGATAATACCCTCTACCCCTTCCTCTGTACCCATAAGGTCTTCTCATTCCTCTATTATTTCTGTAATCTCGCCGATAATCTCTAGAATAAATACGATCTCTACTACGAGATCTTGAATACGTCCTGGAACGAGACCTAGAACTAAAAATGAAATAAATATCAATGCAAAGAAAAGAAACTATTCTGTCTTACCCTTCTAAATAGTCCAGGTTGAATATAACATGCAAATCAATTGTCAAAGCTAAAAATGTACATTAAAAAACAACACATGTACACAAAAGTAAAAGTTTACTGTTTTTAATGAAAAAAGTATCATTTCTAAGATAAATATTGAGAGAATAAATTAAAGACCTTAGAAATGAAGGCACAGAAAATGGGGGTAAAAAGATATATTCAACAGAATATACTAACAAATTATAGTACATTTATTCAAGCACTTATAGTGTAACAGAATTTTTAACGGCACAAAAAATATTTATCAATGAAATACCACTGGCCAAATGCATACATAATATAAAGTTAGGCTTAGAAAATAATAAAAAAAAAAATCATAAACTAGTATTAATTCTTAATAACATTATGGTCACTTATTTTCAACCTATGGTTTCTATTTTCTATGCTAACTATGTATTACTATTTAAAGACGGACAACAAAAGTTAATCATTTTTAACAGAAGAGTGAACTTATGGATACCTTGAGTCAGAAATAGTAAGCAACTATGAAATCATAGATTTATTGCCAAATAATTTTTTGTTACTTTCTCTAATTCATCTCAACACATAGATAAAAACAAGAAATCACCAGAGTGCACACAGCACAGTAAGAATCTGAGATATAGAGCCAGACTAGCTGGATTCTCATCTAATATCTGCCATTTATTGGCTTACAACTTGGACAATTTTCAATTTCTCTAACTGTAAAATGAGGGTAACAACAGGTCAATTTGACAAGATTCTTTGAGAATATATTAATAAATTGAGGACTATTTTATATAGTAAGCACTCCATAAATATTAGATGTATCATATCATTACTGAAAGACTTAACAAGGATAATTATTCACCTGTATCTCTTCTTTCTAGAGTGTGACCTTGATCTTGATCGAGAACTAGACTGTGATCTAGACTTTGATCTTGAAGAATGTGATCTAGAATTGGAGCGACCCATTTCTTTACTCCTAGTAAAATGAAAGACCAAAATAGGTTAAAAAAATCACAATAGTAAGTTTTACATTATTTAAATTATTTTCACAAATTTAATTTTACAAGGAGAAACTTATATTCATCATTTTCAAATGAGTACTAAGCCAGTCAATTATTCCTAACTAAAAACTGTATTTTTCACTTGCATGAAAGGTATCCTATAATAAAATCCTAACGTGCAAATTACCCAAATGGGAGAATTGACTAGCGGAATGACTGGTTGTTATGATGCACACTATACTGACCACCAGGGGGGCAGATGCTCAACATAGGAGGCAACCTGCAGAGGTAATGGAGGGAAAGGGGGTGGCACCAAGCCACCTGCCCACAATTTGGCCCTGATCACTGGCCAGGCCTAGGGACCCTACCCTATATATTGGGAATAGTGTCTTAGATTTAAAAATTGAAACCTGGCAAGGCTACTCAAACACTGCTTCAGTTTTTCCACCCATAAGATAGGGAAAATGGTTCTACTGCCTCAGAAGGGTCATGTTATGTACTACTTTTTATAATCAGGGCAAAAAAATGTAGCTGCCCATACAATAGCAAGATGCCTTTCACCTGTATGGAAAGTATGGTCACTGGTGCATGCAATATCTCGGATATCGAGAGGGATGTCCGACTGCTGATTTAGGCCCAATCTCCACGGTCAGACATCCCCCAAGGGAACAGGCAAATTTTGTGCATCAGGCCTCTAGTTGTATATATTGAAGACACAACAGAAAATTTCTATGGACTGCCCCACCTATGTGCCTCAAATCCAAAAAGGTAGAAGTCAGAAAGAGCAGTAATACCATACTGCAGCAGTATGTTAGATATTACTAATCCATGCCCAATATAAATGACTACCTCCCCCATAAAAAAAAGATCAGAGTATTACAGATAAGAAACCTGAGACAAAAAAAATACAAGTAGCCTAATACTGAAGAAAAATAAACCTATCAGACTGTCATCACAATGCTTTATGGCCTTGAAATAGAACTAAACTGACCACTTCATGTACACAATACTGACTGGAATGGTTGACAAGTCTCCTAGTAGAAAAAAATCTCTGGAGTTATGACTCTACTCTCAATATTTCTAACTGCAGAAAATGAACTTATATGACAATGCTTAATGTACTCTGTACCTTTCTGGTACGAAGATGAAAAATAATAAAAGATAAAGAAACGAGAGAGAGTGCTGCAAGAAAGAGAGATTGGAGCTATAAGGAAAAAAGAAATGGATACCAGTATTCTAACTTTTCCAAAGACTAAATTACTCAAAATTCATAATTCCTATAAGTGACTCACTAACTTCTAATAACCTGCAATTGCCATATATTTAAACCATTTCTCCTACCACCAAATATTTTTGAAGGCATTTATTTTACCTACCTTGACTTTGCTCAATATTATGAAATAGTATTTAAAAGTTGAATTATGTCTGCATACTTTTTCATGAGAAAACATAAATGACAAATTCAAGGTTTCCAATAAATATTTATTTTACAATAAAACATAACTATCCTTATATAGACAAATATCACTTTGTCTTATCATTCTTTATTCTAAGTAAGAAAGAAATACACAAAGACAGTATGCTCTTCAGATGTAGTGAGGACACGTAACATATTTAAAAGATTATGCATGCCCTAGCTGGTTTGACTCAGTGGATAGAGCATCAATCTGCGGACTGGAGGGTCCTGGGTTCCATTCAGTTCAAGGGCACATTGTCTGGTTTCGGGCTTGATCCCCAGTAGGGGGCGTGTTGGAGGCAGCTGATCATTTTTTCTCATCATGGATGTTCCTCTCTCCCTCCCCCCCCTCCCCCCCCTCTCTCTGAAATCAATAAAAATATAAATTTTTTAAAAGATTAGGCACAGTCATCAACTTTCATTATATTAGCACCAATATAAAAGGGAAAACACTAACTTTGGAACTCTCTTGTATATGTAAAAGAAGATTAATTAGACAAGATTATTTTGTCTTGCTTTACTTTTAAATAGCTTTGTATGTTCTGAGTCTTTAAATAGATGTGTTTATAGAAATAGAAGCAGACACACAACTTAAGAAGCAGGAGATAAAAGGAATCTTTTTCCTAAAACTAACTTAAATCTGGCTTACTCTGTACAAGCCACCAAAACACACACACACACACACACACACACACACACAGAGAGAGCTTCAGACCACATCAATTTTAATCATTCAGTCTGAATCATGAGTGTTGCAGTCACGTTTTCTCAAGCTAAACTGAAAACTAGAAAAATGAATGTTATATACCTTAGATTTTATGCAGGTTAGAGCAATCAAGTGAAGTCTTTGAGATACTGTAAAATTCTTCCTGAAGAAAATGTTCTCAGATAGTAAACTCTAAATTCAAATTCCTGGCAAAAAATAAAAAATATAAGTTTGATTTATGGTAAATTCAATATACATAGTTTATAATGCCTCATACTCAGCATTACAATAATCTTAATAAAGGCACTAATGATTTCAGGGAAGGGAAAATAGACTTAGGAAATACAAGTTCTAAACATAAAAGCTTAAAGAACTTTTTTTTTGTTTTAATTGGAATGCAACAGTATATCATGAAACTGATAACGCCTTTACTTTTTAAATACTTGAATTCTAATTTCAGCAGTATGGCTTTTACAAAACATCCTACCAGAAAATTCCAAAGAAGCTAACATAATCTTGACATATACATGTAGTTAGTATTCTTAATTGCTATAAATTTGTAAACTTCTCTAAAATGAGTCAGGGGAGATATTAAGAGACCTGAGAATCAAGCTAGGAAGGAGGAATAGAAATCTAATGATTGAGGGAAACATACTAAAGTAAAAAGTAGTATAAATAAGTAAATAGCCAGAAACAGAAACAAAGGATTTCTAAAGTGCCTGCATACTTCTATTGGTAGTTTTAAAAATATTAAGTCCCTCAAGTGGGCAGAGAAAAACTAAATCTAAATTAGTGTGTTATGAAACTTTATTCTGACCTAGAAGTCCAATACTACTGAGATTTACTGCTGGAAGTGATACAAGGTGCATTTTACTTAACAAATCTAAAAGGCTAATTTTAATTTCTATATATCCAGACAAGAAACAACAGCCAAGTCTCTACTGTCATGATTTTTGAAATTCTAAGAAAATGTTTATTAAAATAGCAACATGAAGGGGAGAGAGGCTGTAGGCTGTTAAGACTAGTGTGTGCGTGTGTGCGTGCGTGTGTGTGTGTGTGTGTGTGTGTATTATTGTGCACAATCTATAAATATATTCAACTATCCATATAAAGAGTTCAATGATAATATTTAAAAATGGCATACAATGTTTTATAATCTTTAATATAAAAGATAATTTTAACATTTTACATTAATCATATCTAACAAAGTCAAAACAAAGACTCTAATCAACTCAGCTAATTTTTTAAAATGCAAATCTATGTACAAAGCACTGTGCTAAGTATTATGGATATGTGGCTATGTAAGAGATCCCTGCACTCCAAAAACCAACTAGGAGGAAAAGAAATAAATCATAGCAAACTAAGTATCTAAAAACCAACCATGTGCCGAGAACTGTGCTTACTTTTAAATCACCTCATTTAATCTTCACAATCTCATAAGCTACATTTAACTCATCTTTCAAATGAAAAGAACTCCAATCTTTCATAATTTCTGAACTTAAAAGGTTCCTATGCCATGCACTATTCTAGAGTTAGAAATACAACACTTTAAGTGAGACATCTTGGACCTTTTGATTCCCTATCCACTTCTTTATTAATCATTGTATACTACAGAGAATTCACTAGTGTTAAACTAATAATTTTGAATGATGTTTCTGTAAACTCCCAATCCAAAGCTCTATGTAGAACTGAAACGCTTTCTCTATTTCTACAAGTCTTCTCAGACAACTAGTACAACTAGCTATGCACATGTCAGTCAATAAACTAGAATTGAGCCTATCAATTGATAAGTTTCTATAATTCTGTTTCCCAAGTCCTAAAATACTATTCTTCTACATGAAGAATCAGCTCTAGTTAAATCTCCTTTGCCACCATTTTAGTTATCTTAAGGGGAATTCCAGTGTTTACCATACGTAACACGGAACACATGGTATCCTTAAAACAAGATGCTGTAAGCCATCAGTAAACACTTTAAATAGATTTGCTGAGAGTTATTTTACACACACAATCCTTCCCATCAAATTATTTATCCTCCATTGTCTAGGATTACATAAAAACGCAAATAAATTTGTAGCTGTTTTTCCTATGGAAAGGTTCATATCTAAACAGCAGCGCAACCATTCCGAGTAGACTACAATTGGAAAGAGAATTCACATGAGGAATAATTCCCCACAAAATTGAAAAGGTGCTGCTGAGATTTGCCAGTATTGCTGCTTGCTTCTGATGAGATAAATCTTAAAAATAAAAAAAGCCAACTTAACGGACTTTATTTAAACGAGGGCAAAGTCACTAGCCTCAACTCACCACTCCCACCACCCATTCATTCACCCCACCAACTACCCATATCATGGCTGCAACATTTCTGACACAATACAATGGGCTGAATCATTTGCTGAAAGGACATGGCTTCACTTGTACTGCTGGACAACTTCACTGCCCTTTCGGCCCGGAAGTCGTATGACCACGCTGAGATTGATCAACCGAGGCCCGCCGCTCCCCATGCTAGGAGTCAGTAACCAGGCACCAACTCCTACAGTCAACAGTGCACGGCTCCTACAAAACAGAGCGGGTTGCCAAGGGGATCCGAGAAGATGAACCACGGAGCAAGTTTTCCCGAAACACCAAGGGCCCCCGAGGTGGAAGCGGGATTCAGTTCCGAGAGACGGAACAGCATTCTACACACATAGTGAAGATAACAAAAATGAGGCGTAAACCGAGGGACAGGGGTTTAAAGACGAAGCGGGGTGTCTCCCGCCCAGTGCACTTCGCTGAAGATCGTAATCACTTTACCAAAAAATCCTAAAGGCCCAGAAGAAAGGTGGCGATCCCAGCCAATGAGGAGAACCCAAGTTGCAGCACTCGCGGCCTCGGGAGCCAGAAGGCGGGGAACCGAGGAAGGAAGCGCGCGTGCGCGGGCCCAGCGTTCAGCCGGGCGCGCGCCGGGGTCCAGGCCGAGGCGATGGGGGAAGGGTTGGAAGAAGATGATGTGCGCACGCGCACGGGAAGGCCGCGCGCGCGGCCTCGGGGTCTCGACCAGGTTTTTAGTCAGGCGCGCGCGCGCTGTTCTCGCTGCTAATTTGCCCCCTCCCTCCCCCCTACTTTTGGCTCGTAGTACTTCGAAAACCCGAGGGAATCTGACGGAGAAACACATAAATAACGGCACATCGTCTCCTGGGTTTTTCTGTCGCCGCCAACCCGCCACCACCTAACAAAAGACTCGGTACCCACTCTCCTTGAATGAATCCGCTACCCTGAATGCAGTACGAGGCCTACCTTGACACGCGAAGCCAGGTTCCCGGGACTTAATCTTCGTGGTAACTACACAGCGGCCATTTCCCCGACTGAAGAACGGGAGGAAAACCATAGAGCTATCTTCGACGCGCTAAGCTCGCCTCCGTCACTTCCGACTCGGGGCGTGGCCTCCGCGGGCCGCTAAATATCGGAGCAAGCCCCGCCCACCCCTTCGCCTTAAAACCGGCTCCCAGGCCGCTGTGAAGACGTTGCCTGAGGCTTTCTGGGAAGTCTCGTGGCTGGTCTCGCGCGAGTTCCGGCGGCCCCGCCCTCGGGCCCCGAGCGGCCGCCTCTGCGCGGATGGAGGGAGGTAGAAAGTGGGCGGAGTGATTTGCTAGGACCGCGAGGTCGTCTAGATAGACCTTCGGCGGGGTTGGTAGGCGACTCTCCTGGCTTGGAGGAACCTTCCGAACCTATTTTTGCCATTTCTTGCCGTCTAGTGCATTCCTTTTCAGACCAAGCCAGAAACAAAAAGACAGTCTCACCCCGAGGAAAAGACGGGAGATGAGGCCGCTCTGCTAACACACGTCGTCTCCCTGCGCCCGAAAGCGCCGAGTTTCCTCCCGGGCGCCTCACTGTGCCCTGGGAGGGCCGCTCTCGCTCCGATACATCAAGTGCCAAACGCCCTTCGGTCGAAAAACGGCCACGCTCTACGTGTCTTTCCCGAGGGGCGTGTGACCAGCGCGGCCTGCCGGGCGGGCTTCATCACTGTTTGCTTCCTGCCTCTCGACGTGGCGGAGGCTTTACCGCCTCGCCAACTCCAACGTCGGCAAAGGCATAAAAAATAAAAATAGAGCCCGGAGCATGACGGTCCTGTGTGCCTGCCAAGAATATACGATTATACGTAAATAGGCAAGCCACGTTTGAATTGGAGAGTCTGAAACCAGAGCCATAGCACATTTCTATTAATACTTCTGTGAACTGCACTTTCCTTCTGGGGGCCTGAAACCATTATCACTTGGATGTTTAGGGACGTAAACCACATTAAGGGACTTCAAAGTTGTAATTAGCAACCAGTCTTCTGTCAGTTAAATCCAAAATATTAGCCCTAGTTGCGAATTGAACACTGTGCTTAAGGCATCCTCTCCTCACAATACAACTAATAAAAGCACCTCATTTTCGTGGGATGAATTCTCTGTTTTCTCTAGATGTATGCCCCTCACCCCACCACCACCAGCAGAACCTGACAGCAGTCATCTGTGGCCTATGTGGAGCCCTGATAAGTCCCGAGCGTTAAGTAAGTGCTCAGTAAATACTGAATGGATGAACTTGATTAAAAGAATAAAAGCTAATCATTGATAGCTCAATACAACGCCACTATTCTGCATGTATTTGAGCGAGGGGGGAGGGGACTTTAGTGCTAACAGCATATACTCACTTTTTCCCAAATACACTAAAATCTGACCAACGTCATTTGCAGCCTAGGACATTATCTTAAAAACCTTTTCTGCAATCCTATTGCATACTTATTAAAAATAAAGTCGCCTTTCCGAGGCAGTTTAACTGTGATTTAAAATAACCTGAGGAAGTAACAAAGAAGGAGACACGCTGGAAAAAAATTTCTCTTGAACTAAATCCATTTGACATATGATACTTGATTTACCTACTTCTTTGTAATAAAACCTTTGTTCCCTATTGAAAATACAAATAATGTCAAAAAGAACATTGAGTAAAAATTGAGCCCATTTAACAAAATAGAAAATTATCCCAAGAAGTATAAATTGTAAATAAATGACCAGCATTACTAGTAAGATAAATACACTCAAATGTAATATTGAAATCATATTTTACATGTAATAAATTACTAAATCAAATTTTAATATATAGGTCATTGATAAATTTACTGTAAATATGTTTATGAAACTATTTTCTTAGAAGTATTTGCTTTGTTTCATTTTGGTATGTTTATGATAATTGAAAGAGAATCAGGAAGGCCCTGGCCAGGTAGCTCAGAGCATTGTTTCCAGATACACTCAAGTTACAGGTTCCATCTCTGGTCAGAGCACATACAAGAATCAACCAACGAATGCATTATAAATGAAACAACAAATCGATGTTTCTCTCTTTCCCTTCCTCTCTCTCTCTAAAATCAATATATTTTTAAAATATAATTTTATTTATTTCAGAGAGGAAAGGAGAGGGAGAGAAAGAAACATCAATAATGAGAGAATCATTGATTGGGCCTTCTGCATACCCCCAACTGGGGATCAAGCCTGCAACCTGGGAATGTATGTGCCCTTGATCAAAATTGAACCCAGGACCCTTCAGTCCACAGGTGGATGCTATATCCACTGAGCCAAAACAGCTAGGGCTCAATAATTTTTTTGGTGGGGTGGGGGGGGGACACGAACCAGTAGACTGGAAAGGACAAGATAGGAATGAGGGAGAAAAAAAGGAGACATATGTTATACTTTCAACAATAACGACTTTTTTAAAAAGGAAAAAAAATGGAGTTGGAAGGCTAGATCATCAAGACAAACTCATTCTACTGGTTTGGTTTGGTTTGGTTTGGTTTGGTTTGTCTTTTTAGGTTGAACTATGAACTGTTTTCCTATTTGGGGAAGTTGAAGTGGAGAGGGGATTTGGAGCCTCTCTGTTCCCACTCTCTGAGAAAGGCGACATTGGGAACCCAACAATAGAACTGACAAACAGGAACCTGAGGCGATGAGGCCAACAGAGGTTCCCAAACTAGACAGTTGGGGGAGGGAATTGGCTATAATTGCTGCTGCCTCCTCTGTTCCTATCCTTCCCCAAGCTTTGCATTGATTCCTTTTTTATTGTTTTTGTAATTCTGGTAAAATATGCATTGACACTTTGAGCTAGCTGATAACTTTCAGTAAATTCCTTTGCTGGGTAAGTTAACCAGAGTTTGTTTCTGTTGCTCCCAACTAAGAACTGAGTAAAGGTAGTTTCTATTTATGAGGACATTTTCCAAATGGTCTGGCATTTTTCCATACTTACACCAATGAAACCAATGGTTCCCTAGACTAACCTATTTCATTTTTTACTGGTGAACACAAGTTGACTGGGTTTCCTTCCCCATCTTTCTATTCTCTTTTGCCTACAGGAAGGCAGAGGGTTTTGTGTTTATTTTTTTCAAGGTTTAAAATTACAAAAATTATTTATTCAATAATTCTTTATTACAGTTTTATTCCCTAATCATCATTTCTCCATTTTAAAAAATAATAAATCAAAGTATAACTGTTCACTGTTGTTCCTAAATCTCACCAAGATTAATGTGCATCTTTTTCATGAAGTTTATTGCAACAAATGGAACATGCAACACTTACAAAGTTTTTATAAGAAGTCTTTGACTAAAAATTATGCCAGCTTGCTATTTAATGTAACTACTAAAGGACCTAAAATGAGGTAATGGGATTATGATTAGAATTGTCATCAAAAATGTTTTTTTATTTTTATTTAAGAGAGGTAATATGTTAACGGAATACCTCCTTCTTTTAAAGCAGTTACCCAGTTGCAGACATAACTCTGCCCCCCAGAAAGTCTAAATGCTCAGTTCTGATTACACAAATAATTTATCTCACAAGCATAGGGCTAAAAACCACATAGGCAAAGGGATAAAATAAAATATCCAAACAAAAGTGATGAAATAATACATTGTGGGGAGAATAACCCTTTGCTCCCCAGATTTCTTGGGGTGATGAAATTTCAGCCTCATTGCTTATTTTGAACTAGAATTAAGCCTGGAATAAAAAAGTGGTCAATATTGGTATTGACAAACCCTAGTACTGGTTTTTCTCGAAATGTGATATATAAAATCCACCTCTTGATTATAACTTGGGTTGCTTATTTGAAAAATAAACCATTATAGTATTTAGTCTCATATGAGTGTAGGCATACCCATGAAAATTTGAGAACCAATGATTTATTGAGTACTTATAATACTCCAGATATTATGGGGCTACAAAGCGGAACAAGATATTTTTGCTGCCTCTGTTTTGGAACTCAAAATTTAGCAGAGATAGGGTGTAACTCCCATAACCAAGAGAATAAAGAGACTTCATAGGAATGAGTGCCAATAGTGAAAGAGAGAAGACCTGTCTTTTAAAGAAGTAGTGGAATTTCACTGCTTATTTTGTCAGTCAGTCATTCAACAAGTACACATGAAGTGTGTGCAGTGTATAGGTACTGAGCTAGGTGCTTGGAATGGGGCAGTGATAAAGGCTAACACTGACACTGCTCTCAAGGGGGCTGCCACTGCAGGGAGGGAAACAGAACACACGTTAACAGACATAATATACAAAGTCTGACGCTGATAAGGAAGTGATGGAGAATAAAAAAGGAAAACTTACTTTAGAAGGGACGCATCATCAGGGAAAGTACCGGTGAGACAAATCTAAAAGATCAGGAGAAGGGAAAATAGCCCGAAGAATATTTCAGGTAGAGAGACTGAGGAAAATCCCTGGAGCAGAAAAGACCTCCTTATGTTTCTGAAACAAAAAATATATAGTAGTGAATGGTGTCCATCAATTTTAACCAAGAAGTATAAGGCAAACAAAAACTTTATTTGGGGATATTTTTAGGAATTGCATATCCAAAAGACAGATTTGGGTAGAAACCTAACCTGTTGTGATGGGGAAAGGAAGGGATCGTTTAAAAAGATGAAAAAAGGGTGGCATCCAAAGTTATTACACAAGTTGCTTTGAAAGAGTTGTGATTGGTGCTGACAAGCAGACTTGCACTATGCTATACATGATTAATTGCTTATGTCTATTACTAGATGAAATTTTTATTTTTAAATAGAGTTTAGTGATGCAGAGTTAGTTCTAGAAACTATATCAGGATGTGGCCATTTGGTTTATAGCCCCATTCAAAAGGTCAGTTTCACATGGAGGGAGTGTATTCGCTGAACTTCCTGAAGGCCTCCCAGCTCCCTTTAAGATTAACAACACCAACTCCACTTTTCTGTTTTTCTTTCACACTTCCTCCTCCTCTGGGCAAGATCTTTTCTTAGGAAGCAGCAATGATCAATCATTAGGAAGCATCATTGGTTCATCATTGAAAAAGCAAGATTGATGCCTCATCACCAGGAAGGCTCATTCTTGGTATGTCATGCCTCATGTTGGGGGAAAGCAGTTTCCCGATT